AGTGCCGTGAAGTCTTGTGACGACGTGTAACACCTTACGTTTTCCGGTTCCGAAGCCACCCTTGAATTTCCGAAGTAGTTTGCGTCGCGATATATCACGAACGCGCCTTAACAAAAAAAAAGTCCATTCGGTAACAAAGCGAGTGTTGCGGCTTGCGTTCGTGCGTTAATTGCGTTTAATCACGGCGGTACGAGGAGAGTAATTACTGTCATTCCCGTCCTCGTGACTGTCACCATGCAAAGACAGCCTACCGAGAGAAATTCAAAGGACTCGAGTTGTTTCCATACAATCTTCTACATAATTGTAACATAACCTATTTTCGTGACGTAAAATGATAATCCGTGTTATTGTTATTGACGTTTTTTATGTTTCGAATTAAATATGACGCTTACTCACCAAATATTGTTTCCAAACTCAGCTGCTCCTATCGCGCGTTGTTTGGTAATCCAAGCGATTTCGATTTGCCATTGATTATCACAAAGATAACGCGCTTACGAAAATCTTGAGCTATCACAGCAGCTTGTCGCTGCCACTAGACACTGCACATCGGAACACAAACGTAATGAACCACTTCATCGTTCGTAAACGTTCGTACATAAGAGATCTAGACAAATTCAAACACGATCTTACACGTAAACCGTTACGATTGTCAGGACACAACAGGGAAAGAATAACTTTCGCCTTTTGGCACTGGATTCCTCGCGTGTCGCGTCGTTTGTATTTTTGGCAAGTGCTGCCTTAATATTCTTATGCACAGTCCACAGTGTATTGTACATCTGTTTCCTCTTCGGCATAATCGTCGATAGATGCATTAATATGAGCCTTCTAATTGTCAAGATTGCAAATGACTCATGAGATATGTCACTTGATCGTACAATCGATGGAACACTGGCAATAATTACGATAAATATAATTTTCATGAGAGGTTATCACTGACATTTAATCACATGAAATATGTTTTTACAATCTCTGATCGTACACGCGTTTATTTCCCACGACGGTTTACTGTACGACGACGACAGTGTTGACTTGCGTTGCCAAGACGAGACAAACCCGTCGAAAGAGCCTTCCTCTCGTTTCGAAAATTTCTTCTAGAGATTCATGCCGAAAATGAAGCAATAAGATTCCTTGATCGATAATCCTCCTTATACAAGGCCGTAGGCATACCGTGTGCCGATAATTACACGGCTGGCATTAGGCTAAGAATTTTCTGCTTAATACCCGATGAGTAAGAAGATAGGAGCACGTTTCAACGGACGTTAAAATAAAGATGCACTGTTCAGGAGGAATCGAAGAACTGTAGTATTTAAATGTGGCGCCATAAAGATCAATACACATGGCGCATTGTCCGTTGGCACTTGGTACGGCTAACGCAAACGATAAAAAGATGAAGCTCTCGTTTGACGATTTGATTTGTTATAAAGACATCACTTTAATTCACTCGACTCACATGAGTTCGCAGAAGCGAGATATTATTTCGATAGAGGTGTCGTCAAGCCACGTTTTATTCAACATAAATGGAGAACCCACGCATCGCGTTCCGTCGTCTTTACCTGCAAGCGACTGCCACGTTCTCGCGCGCGGGTGTTTTCGAAAGATACGAAAGAGCGCGCTGAACGCTTGACAGAAATTCAAGTGCGATTTAATTGCACTACCGAAAATCGAAAATCACAGCGCGATCATTTCCTGTATATAAAACCAAGAAACTAAGCCATCTCGAATGTCATACGATGGAAAGACCCTGACAAAACCCTTGATCTTTAATACATCAAGTCTCGTGTCTCTAGTAAAATTAATGAATAATTAATCAAGCCAATATCTACTCAATAACACCTTGAAATATTCTTATAAAGGATAAACGCGTGTAACACGCCGCCGACTGCCAACAGTCAAATGTTCTGGCAATCAGCTGATCGCCACGCGCTGCTATGGTAACCGCACGCAGGTCTCGCCGGCACGGTGCATAAAGAATTCTTGTAAAATCTTCGTGTAACTGTTGCGTAAACAACCGATATCTGTATCCGCCTGATGATTGTTTCTACTGTTACAAGCGAAGCGTCTTTCTTCGGATTATTCTAATGTGTAGCGAGAGTATGCGCGCCGCGACTCGTCACTCGGCTCGGCGATTGATATGAGAGAAAAATCACAGGCAAAGGAATGAAAGCGACGCACACCGTCCGCTCGTGTCAGTAGCCGGGCGTGCACTGCCTCCCTGAGTCAGGAGTTCTCGCTCCTCGATCCTCGCTCGACTAGCCGAGCTGCGCGCCGCCCGCTGCCTGCTTGCTGCTCGTTCTTTCCTTCCATCGTTCCTGCCACTGTCTATCCGTCTCCCTCGCTCCTATTCTACTATCGCATCGGCTCTTTCGCTCCCACTCATTCATTCTGAATCACTCTCTCAGTTAGTTACTTGCTCACTCAGTGGCTCGTATCACGCGCCGCGCACGGCTTATCCGGCACTTTGGCTGGAACAGCCGTTCTCTTGCTTCCTATCGTATCGCGGTATCGAGTCGTATCGTTGCCTATCGTTGCTGCATGTTGTTTTAGCCTATCGTATCGCTAGCGCCTCCTCTATGAAATCGGTACATGGAGAATCGATTCCACGAGCGGAGGATTCGTTAGAATTAATCTCTTTTAAGAGGTACTGGACTTAACTTTGAACGTTTCTTTTTTATATTTAATTTTCCGTTTCGACTGCTAATGGCAATAATATATGTAGCTATTTGGAGCGACGTAATGGATCGTAAGTATCTCGACAACCTGCAGGAACGTGACTTGTTTACCGATTCGTGTTTGGTCACTCGTTGTCAGTATAGATCGATAACGAACGGCCTAACCGGCCATATACATACAGTAGAAGTTGGAATTCGGAAAAAAGTATCATCACTCTTTGGCTTCATTCGGTAATATAATGTTCAAGAGAATCAATGCACGTGTATATAACGTGACGTCAAATTCGAGCCCTCGGCGATCCCGTCGGACAGTCGCGCGCATGGCAAGAAACTTGATAAATGATTGTAGGTTGGGACGTGCTGCTTGACAGGAAGAAAGGAAGGAACTGAAGGAAGAATGGTGAAGGCGGAGGGTATCAAGCAAACACGGTCAAACTCGCGTGTCATTGACCGGCAATTACTATCTATCCCTTCCTCGAGTATGTATCCTTGGAGATTTTCGAGTCGTGCACGACGTATAATCTGCACGTGGGTGTCTTTGTATTTGACGTCGCTCTGCTATCTGTTCGATAGGCGTGGTCCGTTTTGTTCGATTATCTGTGCTTTCAGACGGACAAAAAGCAATACTGCTTTATTTCTACGAAATTCCCTACTGTACCGACACCCACGCTGCTACGTATAATATGTGAACCTCAACACACTGAATCAGCCATATGTGTTTATTCTCTTGTTATAGTGACCATTTATGTCCCGTGGGAAAAAGAGAGTAGAAATCATTTCAATGCACATAAAAGTGTCTCGGAGTAAAAGTACTTCATAGTACTTTTCGAGAGTAACGAGCAGTATAGTGGATAATAGACAGATTTTAAGATGACTTCTTGTGGGAATTATTGGGTTTATTTAATCTTTGCAAATGTCACTGTATATTATTGTCTCAGTTCCGTTTCAATAGGACCTGATACTTGGCGTTCTTGTAGAGTTTTCGTTTTAATAAACTCTTTACGGGTTGAAATTTTGTAACGTTAATTAATTTCGACGCTAGTATTTATTTTATTATTTCGTAATACTTCATCTGGAAGATATTGCATCAAAAATACGTCAATCGCTGTGGTTAGAAATAATATTGCCACAAGTTGCTATTTTGGCACAATTGCTATTTTGGTGATGGATACGGAATTAATAAATTATATTGTACAGGTGGATGTTTCACATGATGTAATATAAATTCTGAATAATTTTTTTAGCCATTAGGTAATTTATGAAATATTGATCAATACTCAATATTTTTTGAAGACAATTTACTAGCAGGATTCAATTAATATCAGTTTTGGGTTCCATACGTACAATTTGTGATTTTATGTTGTATGTCCTTATAGTTAATAGGTTGGAGGTTTTTTTATCTTATTTCTTCGAGATAAATCTTACATTATAGATTTTCTCATAAATATGACTATTGATAGTAATCGTAAATGCCACAGATCTATGTTTTAAAGTAATAACCAATAGATACCAAGAGTTATGTAAATTTCTAACTATTATATGACACTTATTTTCGTGTTAATTAAATAATCGGTCGCATACATTCTTATTCCTCTGGCAGTATCCATAAAAAAAGATCCGACTATTAAAACTCGATATCTGAAACCACTCTGAGGTAAGAGTACCATAAATACAGAGAAATCTATTAAAAGTCACTTAGTAGGTACGAATAAATCATTAAGTTCTGTCCTGAAGTTCCTTTCAATATGATTGTTATAACTAGAATGTTGAATAAACCAGTTATACATTCAATCAAAATTATTGCTGGCCATTATCATAATCAATAAAATACTATCGGTCATCAGTATTAAAGAAATAAGTAAAATATAATTGGAAATTCATTTTTTTATTTTATTTTTTATCTTATTTATTTAATGTGCAAACATACGATTCAAAAGTTATACCATGATAACAATAAAAAATTGATAAACTAATTGTAAGTACATCTTCAAAGTTTACAATTCTCACGATGACTTACGAGTATAGTGTGAGTTACCGCTGCAGTGGCTCCATCTAGGTATAATTGTTACAACAGTTTGAATATCCGCTGCGCATAACAGTCACTGGTTCTTGACGATCGTTCGATGGTATACCGATCCCCGGCACTTATTATTTCAGCAAAAATACGAATTTCTACGGTAAACAGTAACACGACTTTTTTTAGATTTTCAAAAACGATTTGACCATCCCACCTCGTATTGGAGCAAAGCATGAGAACGTGAGATCTTGGTCATCAAAATTATATTACATAAATTTAATAGTAATTCCTGATCATCGAATCAATGTGGAAATTTACCAAAATCTAAGAAACCGCAAGAATGATACAAAAGCCCAAAACACTAAAATCCAAACGATCGTAAACAGAGTATAGTGAGCGATTTTCAATCTGTGAAAAATTTTTTAATAAAATACATTAATTTTATCATAAACAATACAAAAAAAAAATTGATCATTATTCGAACTTACTTAAAATACTTGGCCTTTCCTTTCTCTAATGTATCCAATGGATCTTTAATAAGGTAAACACGTAAGCCGCGCACATGGTGATAAAAATAATTGTTCCAATCAAGACTTTCCAAATTGAAATCAAATTTAATACGATCAGCAGGATTAAGTTTGTCCCATAATCTAAGCACAGCATTATTTTCAAATTTCCATTGCTGAGTGGAGAAGTAAGATATCACACCGCTGAACTTGTGTATCTTTTTATAAGCACCGAAAAGCCTAACGATCAAAAGAAAAATAATTATAATACACGTTGCAGTAAAATACATAAATTATAACGAAATACTTAAAAAGTACAATCCTCACATCGGCTTACGACCAGTCAAAAAAGCCAGAGTGTCGATAATAAGTGCTGGTAGATAATGAAGCAGAACAATATAAATATTATGCACCCACTGCTGTTTGTTCAAAGTAAAACAATAATACCACATAACCATGCAACTAGGGACAGCAATTCCATGTATTTCATTTAACTTCATAAACTGACCCCATGTGATTGGCTTTGTGCAAGAGGAAACGCAGTTATAAATCGGTGGCTCATCAATTTCTTCCGTCAGCAGGGTGTCCACGCTATTAGGATTGATACTTCTGCAACAAAATAACACGTACATTTAATTTCTTGAGCGATTAAGAAAAAACCATATGACGTATCAGATTTATCATGGCTGATCACTTTGACGTGGCGATGTCCCAGGCTGCTACCACGATGTTGTTAATGACGTAATCCGCTGGAATTATGTCTGCGATGCAGTCCTTGTTGCAATGAAGAGAACGAAGTAATCCGACCCCAGCACCAAACACGACTCCAGTGGGTCCATAAAGATTATTGATCCATCCTGTGATCGGCTCTTTGGATGTAGCTATCACGATAGACGGTCTCACTACACAGACTGGCAATACTTTTGAATATTGTCTCACACTGTCCTCGGCCACTGCTTTAGTGAAGGCGTAAGTATTCGGCCACTTTCCCATGAGCCTGTAAGAATAATATTTGATCCTTTAGCGATGCAATTTGTATTTTCATCCGTTTGGACATTGACTGCAACTGCACCTACACTGGTGTCATGCGCTCCAATACGGCATCGTCTAATATTTCTGTGACCGTCAACAATTTGTCTGAATCGATCGGAGCGGCGTAAAACTTTTCCTCGATGAACTTGACTACGCACTGAGAAAAAGCTGTCGATATATGGACAAATGCCTGTTGATAATATAAATAAATTTATTCGAAATAATTTGAAATTTTCTATCGGTTAATGTATACTCAAGTCAGAGTAACTATTGTGTCTTATGAAGTTATGACTAATATTTGTTTCTTTTCTTTCGTACAGCATCGCACACTTACCTTTAAGTTTGGCATCTCTTTTGCAAATAGAAGCATTTGCTTAGTTCCTCTTATGTTAATGTTTACCGCTTGCCGAAGTTTCTCATCGAAACGTACCGTAGCGGCACCGTGAAAGATTATATTAGAGTCCCGAAGTATTTCTCGATTTTCTGCAGATAATCCAAGGTTGAGTAGACTTACGTCACCTTCTATCATTACTACTTTACTCAGGATGCCAGGACGTTCGCGTTTCAATCTCTCGTACAACTGGGAAGATTATATCAATGAGATTATACGGTATGTATTTAATTGAAAGATACAATACCATATACCAACACTTACGATATCCTCGAAATGCTCCTTGAAACGAGTTTCAGATGTTTTACCTTTTTTTCCTCGAATGAGCATATACATCTTATCAATATCTGGACACGATCTACAAATTTTGAGAAAAATACAATATATATTTAAGTAATTTCTCAAATATATCTCATCCTCCGAATATCCAATTTTCCCTCGTACGGAAAATCCAATTGTTCATGTAATTGTGTATTCGCGAAAGATTCTATTATACCTGCTCAGCGCACACATCAGAGACAATGTAATAAGTTAATATTGGCTATTGTACTGTTAACGGGATATTACTAGCAGATTTCAAAGAATATACGCGACCATATACATAATCATGATTTACAAAGTATAATGCACGTTAGAGACGCGCGAGGAAGTCGTGTGGCAAAATATTACACATCTTCTTGTCAGTGCACTAGTACACACGTTTGACTCCATTATTAGACGCGCATGCGCGCCAAGGGTCAAAGTAAAGAAGAAAAAAGAAACGTAAAAAGTTTTTGGAGCGAAGGACCGCTATGTTTAAATTGTTATGCTAATGAGACCCGTTGGTGAAACGTTTGACTCTCATTTCCCTGTTTGAGGTAATTACATGAGCGAACTTGAAGATAACGATGGTTATAAACTCCAGGTGGACCGTATTCTGATATCTTTATAATACTTACCGTAATAATTTTTCTATCAGAAGTTTACCCATAAAACCTGAACCACCTGTTACGAAAATTTTGCACCCCGCATAAAACTGAGAGATTTCACTCGGTCCTGCTGCTGGATCCGACGCTGGATTTGCCATCATATCTGCGATGTACGCAGCTTGTCCTCCTTGCAAAGACATCTTGAGAATACTATATCTGAACACGAGAAATTAATTAACAATCTTTTGCCTGATATGCTCTCATTCGATTTTAGTACTGTACATTACTGTGCATGTAATAAAGTATTATAAACTCGTGAACGTACGGAAATTTGAGGTTATTTGTAATAATGTATAAGAAAGTTTTTGTCTTGTTAGAGGCAAAAAATAATATGATTTTTTTATCGAAGTACGAATTTTTTAATGAAATTATTATTAATACTAGTATTTATGCACTGGATACTTAGTATTCGGATATATTACGAAACTATGCAATTCAACTATAATATCGAAAGTTTAAACAAAATTTATAAAAATTGTGTAATATGTATTTATATCTTTATAGTGTATGTAGTAAGGACTTTAGTTTGTAAATATCTTAAATTTCTTATTGTGAGTAAAACGCAACGATACTGTTGAAGATACTTTTAAAAATATTTTAGTTACCTAAAAGACTGACGTCCGCAGTTCGAACTGAATCCAATGAGGGACAAAGTAGAACTGTGGGTAATGGGCTTCCTGCTTGTAGTGTCACCAAAATTTGCATAAGAAACGTAAGGTATAAGTGACCACTTCCATAAATTCTAGATCGTAGTTCTAGGTATTTGTATTTTTTCTTGTTATATCCCGCGTTCTATATTAGGAAAAGAGCATGTCAATTAAACGCTAAATCAATCAAACGAAACTTAACCAGTCTGATATACATATGTTCTAAATATTTTTAAAAGTTCAGTATGCACTATGAAGTTAGATGTATCAAAATTTAATTTAATGTAAATAAAGTATAGACAAACATTTGAAGTTATATACAGTTCACACTGACTTATTATTAAAAGTATTTTTGGTTCACAAGTTCAATATGTTTTCTTGACAGCTTGCAAGCAATGCAATCCTTAGCAAATCATATATGATAAAATAATAAGAACATGTGCAAACATAAAACAAATATTGCAGTGTAAAATGATGCATATGCATAAAAACACGTTACGCAGAGCCACAGTTATGTGGTTTTCTCGTTGTTTTCGATCATTCAAAAAACATTGAACTCATGGACCAGCAATACTATTTAATAAGTGCAACAAATCCTATTATCTCTTAACCAGTGATGTGGCATCTCAGTGATTGCGCAATCATAGTCTCTCAGACGCCACGCGACCGGTTAAGGATTATTGCTAATCTCGTGAATATTTTGTATTAATTAATTTTAACGATATGTTGTATTCGCATTGAAACAACGTGTTTATATACTAACCCCAAGTTCTTATGCAAGTGTACGGTAATGTCATTAACCGAAGCCAAATAATATCGAGTCATCGATTACGTCTATCACAGTAACCCGGTAATATATTCTGAGGTCAATTCCGGTCTCACCCTTTGACGATTCCCATGAAATATGCAATTTCACATGCATTTAAAGTATGATGAACAAACAAGATTTCTAATAGTGAAATCTTTTAACAATAAACTGTTGAATACTTCTGTTCAATCGTTCAATTGTTGATTGAAAAGCTGGAGCCTATCATTTATCATGTATATTACTTACCACAGTATTCACGAACAATTGATGTAGTATATTGTAGTATAACAGTTTTTAATTCGGTTAACAAATTATACTTATATTATTTTTGGTGTACGCAATTGTTATGGAATGATATAACAGCGAAATTACATAATGAGAATATATTATACGTGTAATTATTAATTACAGGCTGTGACAGCTATCGATACAGAGAATTATATACATATACGATATGCTTTTGAAGCATCGTTTACTTGTTCGCTGACTCGAAGTTCTGATTCATTACTCAAATTCGTACACGCTAGTTATGAAAACTGCGTTTTGCAAAGTTTTAATCTTTCCTCCGTATATGCGTCGTGGTGATTTATTTTATATTGTAGGCTATTACTATTACGATTACAATAAGAAAACAGTATAATATGGTAAGCGTATGTGTAAGATCAGAAGATTAAAATTGTAATTGATTCATGGGAATGCACTATTGTAACCTCAACCGAGCCTATTGTACTAACTGAATCTCATAGATAGTTAATAAAAATAATCATTCTCATCTTCCAGGTCGTGCCCCGCACCTCATAAAGCAATGCCAGGATAACAAAACAAAAATTATAAACAATAACGAAATTAATAATATATAAATAAAATATTATCACACTGGTGCTTCGTATTAATAGGGATGATTAGTTAATCTTTCTGTAACAGACTCAGAGGATCTTCGACGATCTTCTCCGCGGTTTTTCTTAGGTCTCTCGTTACAGGTTTCTTTATAATTGATTGATGATGCATTATTTGTGTTTGTGATGTCGATGCGGATGACGGTTTACCGAAAATATCATCATCACCGTCGTCATCGTGTGTGAATATAGAATTGCTTGAAGCAATCGTTTTCGTCGCAGACTTCTTTATGGCAAAAATGTCATCCTCTCCACTGGATTGATCACCGAAGATATCTTTCAAATTTGATGTTTTACCAACTTTCTTTGTAACCTTCGAAGATTCTAATAATTCCGATTTTGCGAGCCGAGTTCCAAATAAATTTTCGTCGTCACTTTCAAAACGAATTTCTTGTCCTACCGTAATTTGTTCTGTCAGCTTGCTACTCTCTTCCTCCTTTACGACGGGTGCACTTTTTGATAGAGGCTTCGATTTTGAAAAAGTGCTAAAGAGACTATCTGGATCGGCATCATCCTCATCATCGTCATCATCATCGAACAGACTGATTTTCGTTTCTCTCAGTGGCTTCTTCGCGGATATTGTTAATGGAGCAGAGAACAAATCATCACCAATATCATCTTCAAATAAATCCAAAGTCTGTTTCTTCGTCGTTGTACTGGGAATCTCGCTGGCTTCTTTGGAAGTGTTGGTAAACAAGCTGTCATCTTCGTTAAACAATAAATTTTTGCCTTTCTCTGGCGATGGTGTTTTTGTTACAAATGCGAATAATTGACTAGGATCCTTTAAAGGATCATGACTTTTATCATTTAAAGGATCAATTGGACGTTCTTCGACTGTTTGTTCATCATTTTTATAATCTTTTTCATGATTTTTGCCATCTTCTATGAGTTTATTTTCAGGGTTCACTTCTTTCTCTTTATTCTCCTGGGGAGATGGTTCTTTCCAATTCAATTTCTGATTTAATGTATATGAGTTATCTGCACTAAACTGCTGTCTCTCATAAGAATCAGTATCATTAGTCACTTTTTGGTTAGCCTTTGAAATGTCTTCACTCTTGACTTTACTACCTACAAAGTCATCAGGTCGAGACGAAATACTTTTTACTGATTGAACACTTTTTTTATTTGAATTAACCACGTTTTCTACTGGTGATAATATCGGTGCTCTGCCAAATAATAAATCTTCTTTCTGTGGATCCTCTGGCAAATCAGGCGGTACATCGAAAAGATCTTCCTCGTCAGTTGATGGTGATAATAATGTGTTTTTATTAATACTCATAGAACTCTCTTTGCTTAGACTGCGTTCTGATTTGTCTTCTGCTGTCAGATTTGATTCCGAACTGCGAGTAAGATGTTCTCCGCCCCCGACAGGAACTACCAACCTTTCGGTACTGGAAATTATTTTGGAATTTTGTTCGTTGCTCGTTAAGTCAGTTTGGCTGGTATTTGGATGATTTCCGTTTGTTAAATCGACAGTGTCAAAGATGAGACCACTCTCTCGAAGAGCAGATTGGCGAGCGTGTCTACTCTGAGGACGACGTTTAGCTTGTATCCTTATGCGGCTCTGATAAAAATAAAAATAAAAAGATTAATTGTTATTTTTTAGCCTTAAGTCATTTATACAAATACTTAGGATAATACTCACCTTAGAAGCAATTGCGGCCAAAGTACCAACTTGTGCAGGTTCGTCAAAGCTTACAGCAACTTCGTCATCCTTCCTTTCGACTGGTTTGGACTGGACTGAGGGTTTACACTGCGCATACTCCTCTGTATAACAAACCATATTTTCATACATTAATATAAATACTTGTAACACTACCTACTTTTTCTTAATTACGCAAACCTTGATTAACAGTTTAACATATCGTTAACTTTACTGCATTTATTTAATTTTATTACCGGTTATTGTATTGAAAAATCCTTATCGCATGATTATAATAATAGACATATAATTACCAGAAACTGGTTGTGGACTTTCTTTGGTTGTACTAATGCAGCCACCATCAGCAATATCCTCATCGTCTGGTACATCTAATTCGTCGGTTACCTCATCATTCTTTCGCCATAACGGAGGAGTATCGGTTGGCGAGAGAATTTTTAAATCGCCCATACGACCCATGAGATCTTTTATTTTTCCCGAAACCACTCGTTTTGGTGCAATAGTCTCTTCGTTAGTAGGAGAAACTGCTGGACGAATATTTAACGTCTTTGGTGGATCCCTTCTGGAGTTACCAACAAACAGATCATCCGAAATGGTTGATTCAGAAATTCCAGATGGATTTTTTTTCAGCGGTTCCGATTCCACTATCGACGGTACAGCATCAGAACTTGATGATTCGGATTCTTCCGTTGATTCCAATGTTGTTATCTTAGTATCCGGTAATATGCTATGATGGACTATGTCAATTTTCTCCACTTCCTTTGAATCTTCATTGATAACTTCTGGTTCTTTGGTATTTATGCTCTTTGAATGTAATTCTGCTTTGTTGTTTTGACTTATTTCCGACGAAATGCTGTTACTTTGCTTCGGTTTTCTAATGCTTTTCTCGCCAAACAAATCATCGACATCATCGTTGTCTACATCATCAAATAAACGTCCTCCGGAACGTAGAGAATCCATAGTAGTAATTCCGCTGCTTTCTTTTGTTTCAATTTCTACACTTTTATTTGTATTGGTAATCACCTCTTTTTCTACCAAGAGATTCTCTTTCGCTTTAATTTTGGAACTTGACGTATTCAATAAGAGTTCCTTCTTTTCCGTCCCGTTGCTGACTTTTGGCGGCACCGAAAATAAGTCCTCAGTATCATTGACTTTTACCGCAGTCGTTGGCTCGTTATCCTTTAGTATTTTCTTTCCAAAATTCGTACCAAACAAGTCCTCATCGTCGTCACTGTCATCGAAAATACTAGTTGGCTTTAGGAAGGACTTCGTCCAAGGAGCCTTTGATGAAGATGCTTTCTCTAAACTATTTTCACGAGAATCCTTACTAGTTGTAACCGCTGAATCGGCAGGTGTTTTGTTGTCAGGATGAGTCTCTTGTGGCAAGGTCTTTGACCCAATATTAAATATATCCACGTCAGGAGAGTCCTTAGTGCTGAAAATATTATCGTCGTCGTCAAAGAGATTGTTCTTTTGAAATGGTTTAGATTTCTCAAAAGTCTGCGGTGTCGTCACAAGAAGATCGGCGCTCTTTTGCGAACGAGATCCCGAGCTGGTATTTGAAAAAAGGTCATCGCCTGAATCAGAATCGTCGAATAACGATATTACTTTAGACTTCGTTTTGGGCCCTGCTTTAGGTAATGGCGGAGGACCAAATATATCTTCATTATCAAAAACGACGTCCTGCTGATCCGACGTTTCCTCAATGGATCCTTCAGGAAGTGAATTTGTAATATTTCCAGAACTTGCACTACCTGTTTTATGCGTCTGAGGCACAAAAAGACTGTCACTAATAACTCTCTCTCGGTATATTTCCTCGGATCTCAATCTGCTTGATGACATCTGCGGCTGAAAATCTGCCCTGTAACAGAAAAATGTGTATTTAACAATAAATTTCTAAAGTCGTTAGCAGACAGGAAATTAATAAAATAAATTAATGATTATAAAGATCTTTCAAACACTTGATATATCGAAGTGAAGTATTTTAGCAATTATATGCAGCTACAGCGCGACAACGTAACACGTGTGAATGACACTATTAATAAATGCAATAATCAAAACAATGATTCAGTCTACTCCAGATCGACTGATTTTTTTATGTGATTTTATTGCGAAAACGCTTAAACTGTCTAATACCTGAAAGTTTGTGGCAGGCCATACCGCGAAGGCACATTCCTTCGACTGGTTTGTATTGTTATGTTTTAGATTCGCGAGTGCAAGGCTCGTTCGGACGAGGAATGACTTTCCTTTCGGCCATGCATTAATTCAATACACGTAAAATGAATTTTCTAGGTGAAAGGCGTAACACAAATTTCTGCTGCAAGACAGCGAAGCACAAACACGAACGTTAAAAATAAACTGCACGCGAATTTCTCGTAGAAACTACCATATTATCTTCAGCTCGGTCATTAATCCGTTATTAATTAATGCAATTACGGAGTTCCGCTGCCACACGTGCTTTTGATTATCCGTTACAGGCGTGTTGGTACACTTACATCGTTACTCATAATTTCATAACTATAGTGTTGACTGATTTTCACAGTATTATCCAGAATAATCTGTTTATGGCAATTATAATGTAATATAATGCGTATAAAACTTATAACAGCGTTTACAAGTGAACTTGGAATTCTCATAATTGAACTTAAAATATACTGAGTACCCAGTTGGCTCTTATCTGAATAACAAACATATTATTATTTACAATTTGCAATGGCGGCATTCTTACTTATACTAGCGTCATGCTTCAATGTATTTGACAAATCAATACATACTTTCAATCAATATTGATTTTCTTTAACAATTATAAACATTAACACATTTTATGCATTATTCTTATTATTACGTCATGCGAAATGTATTACGTAGGAATATAGATTGTACGTCAGACATGAATCACATGAAATTATTAATCTGATCTTTTTTTAATTGGCAAATACGCATAAGACGCACCTATTATAACATTTCCAAGCGTTATTTCGAGTATAATTATTACGCAAGACTCGAATATCCAGGAATCTAGAATATTATCACGAGACTTTTTTTTCTTGATTGTAATCCAGAGTCTTCACTTACATGAAAACATGACTACAAAAATATATAAGTGATACTTGTCTCGATTTGGCCATGCTCCAAGATCTCTTAAAAACAAGGAATTTTAAAATACAGACATTCCAAATAATTCACCATTTTCATTGTTATTCATATAAATTTTGTAAAATCGCTTAGTTATTTTAAAGTATTATGCTCTCCATGTTTTTACGTTTTACGGTTCTAATAATATTTACAAATTTATTACGTTAAATTCTGTTCTCACTGCAACAATATTTGTGCACTCGCAAGGCTTCAAAGAATAGGTCTTCCCAATCTGAAGGTAATAGCATAACGAATGACGTACAAGTTTACAATAGTTTTAACAGAAGTACGCAATATAATGTTAGGTGGTATCATAGGGGTCAAACTTCATAACGTAATATCAGAATATTTACTGAATAATTACACGGAATCTTCCATGACCTTTTTTGCCCTATGCTATCTAACTACGTTGGAGACATTTAATTATAGATAATATCATTTCAAATTTCATTTAACCTTAATATTTTAAATATCAACATGCACATCCAGCGCAAACAATGTTAAGCCTGCATGGTAGTATAATTTTCTGCTTATTTTTACTACTTCAATATAATGGCGTCGTTACATAGATATTCCGCATATTAGTGAAAAATATTGACTAATCCGAACGTTACATGAAATATCGTGTTAGTTGGATTATGCTAAAAAAAAAACAGAAATCGGAAGAGCACTCTTGCCCAATTATTATGGCAACAAAATACGAAACATTAGATTATACAAGATAATTGAAGTTTCTGGGGGGTTTGACGTTTATCAATAAGTTTACGTTGTTTTTTATGTTTATATCTTGCATCAGTCATCTCCTATAAAAGACTCTGCAAACTCCACAGGGGGCAAGAAGATATGTTCAGTTTCGCTTAGTGAAATATTCAATCATTTGTGACTCGAGACACTTATTCACAGCGCCATGAAATTTAATAGAATTCAATTTATATTTCTTGTTGGGCTATTGATCACCTCTTCGGTATCTGGACTACGTAAGTCCTGTTTGTCAAATATGGCTAATCGTCGGAACGACACAAAATATTTGTGACTGTTACACTTGTTTATATATTGGCTTACAGGAAACATATGCAAATACAAAGGAAGGCAAATGACTCTTGGACAAAAAATGATTAATTGCTATGTGATAATTTCTTGTGAAAAAAATGGTGTTATTAAAATACAGGATTCGTGAGTGTCCAACAACTAATCTGCTTTATCAACGTAGAAAATTTCTTTTCAAATCCGATTTTCATTTCAATTAACATCGTCTTACAGATGCCCAAAATATTCGTGTGTTCGACCAACTAAGCCTTTGGGATATAAGGTATTTGATGCCAGTGAACCGTATCCCCGTTGCTGCGGTGGTCCAATTTGCGAAGGACAGATAATATCTCACAAAATCTCAAAGGGAACGTATATTGTCACTGCAGAATAATTAAAAACAATTATTCAGCTCGCATCAATGAAATTCTACACTTTAAGGAACAACATAATAAGACTGCTTATAATTTAATATTAGCTGTAGCATATTAAAATCAAAGGTGTATTAATATTTATCATAATTGAGATCTATTTGAAATATATCTCAAGGATGTGGACTTTTTGCTCGATTAACCGCTTCACCGGGAATAATATATCCAAGACGTTCAGCTGTGTTCAGCTCATAATGGTTTTACATGTTGGGAGACATTATGTGGCTCACTGAATTTTGGCCTCAAAATAATTTTTCGGTAGATAGTATGAACCCTCGCGATCATTGATTAAATATCAGGTTAAAATTTTAAAGATTTTGCAAATTATCTTTTAATTTGTGGTAGACGGGTGGAATACGTTAAACCATTTGCAATATTAGCGTATATACGTATGGGCACAATTTCCCTGGTAACTGTCACCAGAGCGCATATATGCGCTTAGTTCGTATCCATATATAATTAAAAAAATTTTGTTATCAGAGCGTATTTTTGACTTTCCCCTGTGATGCAAATGGGTTAATTAAAAATTGAATAGTATGACTACATAGATATACATATAATTTAATCGCCTATCGAATTTTATAGGGCATAGTATTGTTTAATAGTTTCTTTATATTTACGGTACTGAAATCAAGAACCAATTTTTTAGCAAAGTCCAACATGTAAAATAGTCTTATATAGAATAGATTTTTGTAAATACTCAATTATATATTTTAGTTTAAAATCGCATGACTTAGGATGTATAAATAAATATATGATTTTTAATAATGAAACAAATATTGTCTTTTGAGTTCTAATTCAAGATCATATCGATGCAGTTCCTTTCCTTTCAAAATCCATTTCGATAAACACCTTGAAGCCATGCTTTCGTTTTTGGAATATTTGAAGAGAAAGCTCACTGTTATCGGTGGAGTATAAATTCATAAAAATCATTTGAATCATAGACGATAAACTGAAGCGTAATATTATAGTGCGATATGCAATTGTAGTAAAATATTATCTCATTAAGAATAAAATTAATGAAAAACCATGGATACTTGAACGTGAAGCGGATCTTGGAAAAACCGGTTTTGCTGTGTCGATTGAAATAACCGTGACTTGTTGCTGTTTCGTATTAAAAATATAGTGATAAAACTGTCACTTCTCACACTTTCCGGAATAAAGCCCTTTCGCATATTCTGCGAATATAAAATGCTACCTCGTAGTACAGTAATTATTTAATTAAATAACTTAATTCTCTCGAACTAATTTGACTAAAAATATTCAGTCAAAATCGTTCCTACAATCATTATCAGCATCGGATTGGTGGGGATGAACATATAAGAGACACGGCAGGTTCGGAAATTATTACAAGTATCTTCCAGTCAGAACTCTTAGCACGTTCAATTCGGCGTATAAACAAGATGAAGGTCTTCTTGACTCTCTTTGGCATTGCATTGACATTGAATCTATTCTCAAGAGTCGAAGGTGTGTACCTGCACATTTTGCACATAAATTTTGTATTGGAAATATGTATTGAAATATATAGTGCTAGTACGGTCTTTGTTATGTTATAAATAAGTAAAATGCATAATTATTTCATTATTTGATATAGCTGATTGCGTTATTAATGGAGAAACGGTACCAACTGGAAGACACGTAAGGAACTGTATAGTGTACACGTGTCATCAGAATGATAATATAAGTGCATTAGCGTGAGTTACTCTTGTTAATATTTTTCTTAAAAAAAAAAAAAAACTATATGTATAATGCTTGGATAAATCAATTTTCATCTACTTCTAGATGTCCTTTATCGCAATGTCGTGTACAAATTGGATACCAGGAAACAGATGTGACTAAACCTTTTCCCGATTGTTGTGAAAGACCAATTTGTGCATCAGACGAGTATTCCGAAGGCGAGGCATAAAAACGACCACTAGATCTTTAGCAACGACAAATTAAAAAGTGTTATAACAAAATGTTACAATTCTAACTCTCTAAGTTCACAATTATGTTGTTATAAAATTATATTTGGGCAATATTAGAAAACATTCATAAATATCTTTAATAAATGGGTATTTGCAAAAATTGTACAATCAAACACGATAATTGCAGATAAATCTTGATTTATAAAAGAATGACAGTGAAGGGTAAGGATAAAAAAACAATAATACCCCACTCGCTGGAGAAACTTGAATCATCCTATATTTTTTTATCCCGAAATTTTACCATTACTTACCATTTTTTCAATATCCAATACTATGTTATCGCTACAATGTTAACTACCAATTTATGCACAAGAGTAATTCCGTCGCGAGATTATACCAAACTGATTGGAGCTAGCCTCGAGTTTGCTTATTCACTACTAGAAAAGGCTTTCTGTAAGCCAATGACTAATACTTGGATCACCATCAATGACGCCTCAGCAATGATGACATTTTTTTCAAACAACCTTCACATTCCGTATAAAGAAATAAAAGGATTTTCTTTAAAAATATGAACTCTTGCTACTAAATGTTCAATCGCGATTATTAATACTAGCAACATCATAGCCGTTATCGATGCAACAAAAGATTTTTATTATTCTATGTAGCATTATTCTTATGTTATAGAACAATGCAATGAAATGAAAAATATATAGGCGACTTACCCAAGTCCAGAACCTGTTGTACTGTTGAAGCTTGGCGGATGTATTGAGATTCCACTACTTCCGCTCGTTTCGGTACCTCTCATAGAGTTTTCCAAATTCCCTGCAGCTAGCCGAAGGCTCGGTTCATCAAAGTTGACTTTGGGCAAGGTACGACTGGTAGCGTTTTGATTCACCTGATCGCTGCTTGTGTCATCATTATTTTCTGTAACGTTGCTATCAGACGAATCTGAGGACGACAGTCTATTTCGGAATTTACTCCTAATCTCCGAAGCTAATATATTAGCTGGCCTTAATACAGGAATACCTCCCACAGGTTTCTAAAATATAAAAATAATAATCATTGCGTGAAAATTTTAATATACAACGAACTATAACTCGGTATAGATATAATTTTATACCTTTTTGGTTGCATTAGATGCTTCAGTTTTCGATGTTCTTCCTGATGAAACTAAATAAAATTTTTTAAATTAATTATACAACAATTTTACAGCATCAAAGTAAACAAATATTTTTATAATTAACTTTTTTTACTACGTACCATTTTCCCGTTTCGACGTACCAAATAGATCATTGTCATCTTCGTCTTCGAATAAATTATTAGCATTAACAATAGTTTCTGGAGTACTAGTAGCCATATTACCAGTATTTTCAGCAGTGCCAACTGTGAGCAGTGGTTTTTGAATATTGTCATGGAACGGTTTGGAGGTAGTTGAGATATTTTTTTTTACCACTTTCTTTGTAGAAGTCTTGGAAGTAAATATATCATCTGAATCTTCGGAATCAGCATCACCAAATGGATCATCGATTGCTGATTTTGGCTTTACAACTAGAAAATGAAATTTAGATGCCACGCATTAATTTTTTTTTGGTTCATCATTTACATTATCCATAACATATTATCATTATTGAGATTATTAACATACAAATTGAACTCATAGGCGGTGGTACATCAATACTTGGAGGTATAATATTTGCTTTCGTTGATTTTATAGGCGTATTTTTCGAAGATTGAGTAGGTGCAGGTGCATCATCATCATCATTGAACAATTTATCATCGTTATCAAAAAGGTTTCTAGACCTTGTACTAAAGATGTCGTCATATTTCGATTCAAAAATATCATCTGGATAAATAAATTGACATCAGTCACTGATCCAATATTATGAGAATAATTCTTGCAACGAAATCAACATTAACGTAAATATACGAGTCAACTACCTTTATTTGGTTGATCGACTTGAGGATTATCCACTTCATGTGTATTTATGGATTTTTCACTAGGCAACATATTTCCCAATCTCTTAGCCAGTTCTTCTGCAAAACTTGGCGTGGCATGCTTCATATGCTAAAGTTATACAATCACATTAGATTAAAATCATTAAGGTTTCCATAAACAGTACTTTGAACTTTATATGGGCGGATTTTTTAACGACTTCTATAGTTTTTGACTTCGAATTTTGATACGCATGTTAAAGTGATACCATAGGAAAAATATGAGACTGATGTAGGGCCAAAAAGAGTCTTCTGAAGATTAATCAGGTCATAATTTTATGCAAATATGAAATAGATTACGCATATTATGCAATCAAAAATAAAAATATTAGTATACCTTTGGGACACTATTAGCATCTGTGATAGATTCTGAATCCGAGTCAATAGTATCCTCGGTTTTTGCATCCATTTTCTCATCATGTTTAATAGAAACATTCTCAGCATTATAATCATTGGGCTCACTGGAAGACGATGATATCGCATCCATCATTGATTTGTTACAATTGTTTGAATTTAAAATAAATTCTCTTGATTTTTCATCAGATTCACTATCAGACTCTTCCTCATCCAATTGTTCCGATTCACTGCTACTACTTTCCAAACCAATCTTACTAGAAGCTCTCCATTTTTCTGATCCAATGATATAAGGCAAAGGACGATCTTGATAGGGATCCTTTGGCCTCAAAATGATGCTATATTATGAAAAGTTCTATTAATTTAAGACAAGAGAACTTATATATACAAAATGATATAGAACATTACGCACCTTGGAACTGCAGGTTCTTCTTCATCTTCACTATCACTAGCAACAACTTCTAATCGTTCATATTTTTCATCCATTATAACTAAACCTTGCCTAACGCTTTCCTCCACATTAGCCATTAACTCTGCCGAAAGTTGTTCCTTTTTTTTTAATTCCTATAACACATGAATGAAAGTTTATAGTATTAAGTTTATTTAATATCTAAGTCAATGTTTCATATATACCAAGAAATAAATAATTTTATTAAATAATACTTTGAATAATTATTCTAACAACTTAGTGGAAATACCTGGCTTTGAGGCTCTTTTGTCTTTGCTATTTCCATATCATCCTCATATATTCTACTTTCAATAAACTGAGTATTTGCCAATGCTAATGATGAATTTGTGATATTATCTATAAATATAGCTGTTTCATCCAATTGTGCTGATAAGGAATTTAATGTCTCTTGAGTTTTGACAGCTTTAGACATTAAATTCTGTAACACAATAAATACATTATTTCAAAACGTGATTAAAAAAGCTGTTACGCATGAATTTCATAATATCTCCACAAGGAACATTCTATTAGTCTTATTATTCAGAAAAATATTCATAAAAACAAGAAATATCAGTTTTAAGATTTTTAAGTTCATAGTAGAATAATACTTCAGAAAATTGTTGAAGATGTTTCAAAAGTCCAGCATCTCCAGCTAGAGTCCACTCATTGCGTTTCCTCCTGATTTCTTCAGTTGTCCATGGGTGATCCCATGATTTATCCATCCTAAATTACTTGTTGTCTTATTGCATAAAAATGTCACTCACTAATCTGTAAGTCAAAACATTCAATAAAATAATTATATGCAGTACCTATATTAGATAAGTAGTATCCAATTTTTGTCTTGAAAGTAATAAACACCTAAATTAAATTATTCGTTGTGAAATATATCACGATATTAACAGCCTATTTGAAAAATATACTTACTTTAATCTTGTAAAAGAGAATATTTAGAGTTTGAGGGTCAAATGCACAGGACACCACTGTGAAGTTTGTTCTGATTCAACAAGTGCGACAAATTTGAAACATTATATTTCCAATACCTATATTACAAATGTACAGATAACTGTTTGTATAATAAAGCATTTCATTATACTATTTATATTAAATCAATGACGTTAGTAGTATGAGTGATTCACCAAGAACATATGTTTTTCAATTTTTATGAACATAAATTATCGCTTCTGCAAATATTATAGGGAAATTTGTTAACTAGTTTTAAATCATTGCCAGTCTGAGGATATTACAGCCAATTTCACATAGATAAAGGTGCATGCTCTACGGTTTACTCCATGAGTGACTAAAATCTTGTTGACAAATCGTTAGTAGCGTTATATTAAACAAGCAACCGGCAATGAAACTCATTGATACTTTCTAATGACAGTCCTCTAACGATAAATATTAATATGATTTTCTTTTATCATACTTTGTTTAAGCATTGTCGGGTGATGTCCGCTGAAATCAACACAACATAAATCATATTTTCTGAGCAAACAACTTTTACTTAATTTAAAAAAAAAATTACTGCGAACTGAGTACATAATCACCATCTGCAACTTAAGAATTAATTATATATCCCAAACGATTATAGTGGTAAATGTCATATTAATCATTTACTGACAGTTTGAATTCATGTGTATCGAAATGAAGTGCATGGAACACAAGCGCCAGTGTGCTACCACTAATGACATCCCTGTTTATGAATTTCAATTTCACATATGATTGTAACATGTCAAATTCGAATGAAATGCTATCATCAGGTAGTTCACGATAGTATGCAATGTCAGATAAAAACCATTAGAACCATTAGAATTTTAAAAGTCGTTACAACTTTTTCTTCACTTTTGACTGGAATCACTGTCCATTTTGTAAAGCATTGAAAACGGACCATGAAGTCCGTGCTTGCAGAACCTTGCGTTTACGGCATAAAGTTTGATCGCTAAATGAATCAATGGCGATCTTGTCAAGTGTGAGGACGATGTTGACAGTTCTTTGGGACATAGCACAAGTGATCTTTACATACATACATATAATGGAAATACAATGAATGTCATAATAAGAATGTAGCTTGACAGATACAGGTATGAAATAAGAGTATACCATTGACAAGTAATAATCGAATTTTTTAATAGAATTCTTAATATTTATTTTTTAAATAATTTCTTGTATATTCAAATTAGTTTATGGATCATAAGTCATGCAATTAATTAATAGCTCAATGTGTTATACATAGACAGAATGTGTTGCCTCATTTGTACCTAATTACGATTTATATACATTCTTATTTTTTTGATAATACTTTTCGAAAGTTATTAGACACACACACACACACACTTACTAATTGATACCTACTGATAACGAATGAGTAATTATTTTTAGATCCACTTAGTTTTTCTATAATATAAGTTTTTATTTTTCAACCTACTGTTATAGTAATTATAATTGTGTGTAATATCAAGTTCCATGGTTATGTTTATAAATTTTTATATGGAATGCAAGTTTGATGAATATTAGATACCATTTGAGTATATTTTTTCAGAAACTTAAAGCAACAGATGATTTCATACTTAGGCAACAATAAAGAACAATCATCATGGAGGATCCTGAAATATTTAATACGACAGTCCCATCTTTATCTGGAATCGAAACAGCTTTCTGGAACTATACAGATCATATCCTCGATGATCTTAAAATGGATAGTAACTTTATTTGGTTGCTATGTTCATTGGTTTCTGCTATTTCATGGGTTGTTTACATAGCGTACTATAATAGCAGAGTTATTGGATTTATTTTAACAAGATTGTTGAATCGATTTGTTATCCGAGATGGGTATGTTAAAGTTGGTGAGTAAATAGTCGTTGCATTTTAAACTGCATTATGCATTGAATTTCTATTTATAAGAATTCATCAATTCATTATAAGAAATTGTTTGCAAGCCATAAAAAAATGTCCGGACTATAAAATAATATGTTATTTATAGGGTCCTTCACACTCAGTGCTTTAAGTGGAAAAATAATGTTTAGAGATATAGTTTACATTACGACTGACTACAGTTTAAGAATCCAAGATGGATGGCTTATATTCAGATGGTGGAGAAGTTATGTTCCAAAAGATGTTTCTGAAGGTGATATATATTTTTCGTTTCAGTTAGCGTTTGAAGTGTAAGATGAATATATTATCTGCAGGACATGAATAATTTCATTAACATCGATAAGATATTAATTTCATATATATATTGTTTAATTGTAGATCTCTCCCACTCTGATACTCGCCTTTCAGTCATGTTAAACGGCTTTGAATTACATGTATATAATCGCTGTCAACTATATGCACAACTCGAAAAAATGTTTGGCCTTACTCCACAAATGTTTCCGGACGAAGAAAATCATAACGTAAATATCGACGATCGCGATGTAGAATCCATGAGTAACGCTGCGAATGAGAATCGGCAACAAATTAATGCAATGGATGTTTCGCGTCATGTTAACAATATCAGAAGACAGGAAGCACACGTTATTGCGAGGACATGGAGAGATTTGATACCCGTTATCAAATTGGACATCTGCACGGTAAGCTATTTATCTAACTAGTTTTACTATTATAATTATATCTCTTAGTTCATGAGAAACATCGGTATATCATTATTTAGGGAAGAGTCGTTTTTGGAAATCGTTTGGTACCAACGACTTTATCAATAACGGTCGAAGAAGCACACTTTGTCTATTCAACAAAACCTGCGGCTTCTCGGCACGATCACTTCATGCACTTCACAAAGTGCAAATCTGAGAATTTTAAAGTTATTCTCGCACCAAGTCCAAAATATACTGGTATGGTGGATGATCCACCAAGGTACATGGGCGAGGGTTTTGTTGTATTAAGCTCGAATAATATGGAACTGTATTACTACATGGATGAGCCTGGAGTGGTTCCTGAGCATCCAGAAATGATAAGATTAGCAAATGGTGATATGGTGGAAGCAATGCCACCAATCTGGGGAATCGACATTAAGTGCGGCAAAGGCACGGACTTCAGTTATGGGCCATGGGCCGACAGGCAGAGAGAACATTTGTTTAAATTTTTTTTCCCAAATGATTATCAGCCTCTGAAAGTGACAAAAGCTCCTATACCAGGAGAAAAGAGGCAAGTCCAATCATTCGATATTCGTTTGTCGACACTGAATGAAGCCACGATCGATATCCTCTTCAGCAAGAACCGAGAGACTAACGCAGTTCATATTAACGTCGGCCCGGGATCCTACTTAGAAATCACCATGCCTTGGATCGTTCTGCAAGACGGTTATTCCACGAAGATAACAGGACAATTATTGCATCTTGAAGCTACAACAAGTCTTCAGTATCGAAGTCTAGTAGAAAGTGAGACGTTAGAATTTGGTGTTAAATGTCATTATCCCATTAGATGGAATGATCATCAAGAATGGGTATTAAATTTAACTGGATGTAAAGCAACAGCTAATTTAGTATACTCGCACAAAGAGTTTTTCCAAGACATGATTAATGATTGGGCCAGCAAGGCGAGACCTGATCTTTTGCATTTTGTACCCTATACGTGGAAATTTAGTCTTCTACTTAAAGAGTTTGAATTAATCACAGTAAGCAACGAATATAATTGGATTGACTGTTCCTCGCAGAATCAAGAAAACGCACACATCGCTTTTTGTGGTGAATTCTTTGATTTGTCATTCGATTTACCTTTTGTGGATTTCTTACCACTAACAATTCCACTAAGGTTCTGGATACAGGGTGAAAGTGTAGATCTTTCATTCTATTTGCCCGAAGTGAATACGAACCGTGTTATTCTCTTAGCCTTGGATAAAAATGCAAAGATCATGACACGTGATGGTTCGTGCAAGCAGCTGTCAGACTTGAACACAAACAAAAAATGGAGAAATGTTTGTCAGAAAGGATTTGGTTGGGTGGATTGTTGGTCTGTACCAATAGTAGCTTTGAGTATCAATTATACGTATCATCCTTGTCCACCATTAGGGCCCGTACCGCAAGCAAATATAACGACACCAGAAAAAGAAGAAATTTTATTATCGCCAATGAGAATACCCAGATGTAGAAAATCTCCTGGACTTCAGTGGACACAAGACGGCTCAGAAAAGTTCGATCCGCAGTCGTTAACTCCGGATAAAGTCAGTTTAGAATTAGAAATTGGTCCATCGATACTCATATTGTATGGTTCCCTCATAAAGAATTTTATTCATCTGAAAGAGAATATTTTTGGAGACTATCAAAGTTTCACTGATATGCAGCAAAGTCGACCATCTCCTTCAACAGTGAATACAGAAAGAAATAAAGAGAGGGATGTTCAGAATAGTAGTATTGAAGCTTCAGTCGAGGATGAAGAGGCAAAATTGAAACCCTTTGATGCTAGAGATTACCGACCAATGGAAGTTACAGTAGGGATAACAATGCACGATATTCAAGCGCATTTGGTAAAGAATTGTAACGAAAATGATCCACCGTGTCCTGTAATTCTATTGGAGAGATTTGGTTTCGAAATGAAAAAAGGTTTCAAGGAAACGGAGTTGCAACTACTGCTTTCACCAGCTATCATGTTGTTGACTGATAATGTTATAAGACCAAGTAAGGAAAGACATTTGAACCAGGGACATTTAATGCTGAGTGCATTACAAGTTAGAGGCCATGCAATGTTCAGTAACGAAGGTAGAAGTTTGGATCAGGAAACCCTTGAATATGCATGGTTGATAGAAGTGCAACTTGGAAAGTTGAGTGGAAAAATCAGTTCTCCACAATTGCATCATCTTTATACATCTTTAGAAACATTCTTATTGATGGCCAAGAATACTGAAAATAATTTGAGACCTCCTGGCTTGCCACACTTTTGTCATCACGGCTTACCTCCTTTACAATGTTCAGAGAGTAATCCAGATAATCACTACAGGTAACAGTACCATTTCAAATTATAAGATATATAGTAAATCATTATAAGTACATTAATTGATGGTATCTTGACTTACTCGTTTCAGATGTCCAAGTTCTGAGGATATAAAGTATAGAATGACTAGAGTATCTATTGATGCTATTGATTTGTATATTCAAGAAGCAGGAACAGCAACTCAAATTTGGATATCACCTATACGAATTTCGACCTGCAACTTGCATGGACAGCAAGTAAAGTCTGGAGTAACTGGTGTCTTACCAGCTATTCTAATTCGCCAGTTTGTATCTGCAGCTGGTCACTTTGCCAATGCGAGTAACACGAACACGACTGGTAGTGGTAGATCACATAACAATGCAAGCAGCCGCTTGTCAGGTATTATAAATTATACAATTAATATAAAAAGAATATTTATTTTTACACGACAAAACTAAACTTAACATAAATTTCTTTATAGGTGATGGATCTGATATTTGGCTTGAAGTTGGATCAGTAGCTTTAGGTCCTGTCATAATGGAGGCTGCTATTTCACTTCCCACTCCAGAACATAACTTGCACCTAGTGCAAAATAAATATTTAAAAATTCACGACGAAGCAACAAAGAGACTGTGGTTCTTATGGCCTGTAGAAAGCGGTATAAAATCTACCAAGTGCGGATGCATAGGAGGTTGCGCCTTCTTTGGAAATAATAGAAATGGCCCAAGATTCTTTAAGCCGAGTTACCACGATCTTCACGACGGTATTAATATTGCAGCATACAGGTTGGATTTTTTTTCAATATATTATATAGATTACATAGATAGTGTGAATAGTTATTAATTGTTACAATAAATTATAGTTTTAATACTCAATTAGTGAACAGATATTACATAGTAATGATAAATTTGCAATATTTAAAAAACTCAAGTACAAGATTTGCTTATATAAGTAAGTAGTTATTATACGCTCACACGTAATCTAATTGATCGCGTAATTCTTTAATTCTATGCTTCTGATTTTCTATCACTATCTTATATGTTTCGATCTCTCTTCGTAATCTCTCCATTGCAGATTTTATTTCCCAAGCAGAATTCTTCCCTTCGTCGTCTTGAGTTGAAAATTTCCATACATTCGCATCGACTATTTTCTCGGTCAATATTTCCCCCTTGCACGCTTCTTCGACTACTAAATCTTCCGTTTGCTTTATATCTGTTATCATGTTCGTTAACAGTATTTCCTTTTGCTGTGGTACATCCTCAATAACTTCATTGCTCGCTTCATACATCATTTCTTCAACTAATGACAATATCTCGTTCCATTCTCTATGTTAAAAATATAAAATAATAATAATAAGAATACATATGAAAATGGCTTAATTAATATGAAAGGCCGAAAATCAGATACAGTGTTCAAAGTTTACCTGTACGCCGCACGGGCTTTATTATATTCTGCCTTTCCTGCTTGAACTTCTTTATATACTTCTGATCTCATACTCTCTATCAAATTATTTTGCCTCTTTCTTCCTCGTTCTAGTATAGCTTGTCTGTCTTCTGCAAGTAAGTCTAAGAATACAGCAATAGATTCTTCAGGATACACATCATATAATCGTTGAATATCAGTTTCCGCTAATGGCCTAGTCACAGCTAATTGCCACATAGATTCTGTTGGTTCATTAGCACCACCCATACATGTTTTCGACTGAGATGCAGACGCCATCATACATTCGTCCATTTCAGCTAAAAGATTCCTACGCTTTTGTTCCTGTTGTCTAAGAAAATTGTAATATATTTTAATATTAATGTAGAATTTACGCATCACATGTCGACTTACCTCACGATTAATTTTTGCCTTAGTATTTCTAATATTTTCAAGTGTTGCTGTTCTGAACTTAGTTTAAATATATGATTCATCTTTGGTACTTTCTTCAGATCCTGTTGCAATCTACTCACAAGGAATTTTACAAAATCATTGTTGCCTGACGTTACTCCTCTTATTTCTTCATCGATTTGTGATAACAGTACATCAAAGAACGCTATTTCATTTTGAATTTTACCACATGCTTGTCCCATTGGTGCACGCAGTTCTTCATACAATTGAGAAATATCACCTGAAATTCAATAGAATTCATTTTTAATTAATTGAACTATTGCATATATATTCTTAACTATGTACTTCATTTTTTACCGGATACTTTAGCTTCTATGTTTCTTATATAAAAATCTTCCATCTCTGACTCAGACGGATTCTCTCCTGGAATAGTGTGTGTAGATAATTCATGTAAAGCTTTTGTGTAACGAAATTTCGATTTATCCATTGAGCATGGAATAACTGTGACATCTGTTGCATTATCTAATTCCTTGTCAATATTAAGAGCCACAAACGCATAAGTCCCTTGATTATTTGGTAAACAGCGAGTTGCAACGTAAGTTCTACCATCTGCTGATCTTTCTTGAAAATCATCAGCCATATCATCTAAAATTTATGTAATCACTTCAATAGAATATTTATGATTGTGCTATATTATTGCATTATATATCTATATATCTTGATTTATATTATTCATAATTACATTTGAAAGTTAGTATGATTTATCATTGATAAAAATATACATTTATTACCTACTGGTTGGTCTATATCAGCTACGAAAGCTTCATCGGTAGCGGATATACCGAATACTGTATTTGATGCAGGTAAAGGCCCTTCCCCTGGTGGCTTAAAAAATGGTCCTGCCATTTTACCTTCTTGCATGTTCATTAGCAAATGTGTAAGGAATACATTTCTGTTTCGCTTTTGATAAATGCCTTCCACCTTTTCCCCACACAATTTTGAAAGCCATTGCGTGCATAATGTAATATCCCTTTGATCAACAATTTGTGGGTAATAAGTTTTTGCTAAGGTCATAAAGAGTAGGAAGTCTCGGTCGAGAGTCTCTTCAATTTCTGCTTCTTCTGCCATGATCCTTTTTTACTTAGTTCCAAGTAATTATAATCGATTAATAGAATTGAGTACATTATATTTTTATGCATGACCACATTGTTAATACAATTTCAATAAGAACATATAATGAATAATCACATTAGATTTGACATAAGCACATTCGACAAATTTGAGGAAAAAAAATATCATGAACAAATGAACGGTTCTATTGATATAGAGTTTATATAGATATACATATAGAGTGACTACACCAATAAATAAACGGGCACTAGCGAATGAACAAGCTTACTACGTAACGTGGAAGTTCAGTCACTGGTTTGATTTATTAAACGTTCATTCGATGGTGCAGTCACCCTAAATAAAGAATTACTCTGTACAGTATGATCATCAAGATATTTTGTGCAATAGTTATCGTTTTAAAATTAATAATTAGTTTTATATGCATGCTTACATTTTTTTTTCAATTTATTTAGGATACACGAATCTGGGAAGGAAAAAGGCTTCGGACAATCTATTTTGCACGATGATCAATTAGTATTTCATACGCCACCATACAGTTTGCAAGATGTATCATTACAAGATATCTGCTATCCTGTTAGTGGATTGAAGGTAACTGTTGTTCAAGATGGATCCCAAAGTCCAAAATTTGGCGTAGAAAGATCAAGATCTGCTAGTGATCATAATAAAGATTCCAGTATAGAAGGAAACAGTAGTACAAAATTAAGTACAGCTTCAGCAAGTCCACTAGCTGGAAATGGAGAAAGGATACCGCTAGGTCGAAGATTCTCCTACACATCAATTCGGTAATTTAAAAAACATCTATGACATTCTTTTTCAATAATTAATAAATACTAAAAGAGATTTTTTTGTATTGCATTTCAGTGGTTCGAATATAAAAGACGTTCCGTACTCTCGTTTGGTTGATGCTAGTCCTATAACACAATTACCACAGAAATTAGAGTCGGATTCAAAATTGAATTCTGAACGTAGTAAGTCAATTTTAAGCGTTCCGGAAATCGAAACTGCACCAAAGAGCAGTGCATCCGATTCGAAATTGGCTGTAGATTATTTCAATGCTCCCGCAGTGGATTCACTACAGCAAAGCTCTAGTCCGCAATCGTTGCCAACAGTACCAACAGATTCATGCTACTCAACAATGCAAAAATCAGCAAAGGGTACTGAAGGAGTTAATGTGTCCGATTCGCATCATTCACTGTGTGTCAGATCAGATTCGGAAGAGCGATTAAGGCAGGAGGTAAAATACAATTAATCAAGTAATCAAAATAGTTTATTAATGAAGAATATATTTTTTGTGTAGGTGCAACGTACGATATCTATGTCGTCGGAAAATCATTCGGAAGCATTTTATTCTGCCGATGAGGATGTTAGTCATGGTTTGGGAGGAAGTAGAACGTCTAGTTTAAGGCATTCCATTGTGGGATTTGGTTCAGTCTTAAACCGTAACGATAGTACGAAGAAAAAATATTCCTCTGATTTATCTATTGTGGAGAGCTCAGCAAATGCAAATTTGATTGTAACAGAGAAGGCACATACTCTTGAGAGAGCAAAAACACCAACACTTAATTCGAGAAAAAGTCCACGAATAAATAGAAACACTAGTTTTCGCAATGAAGTTGATTCGAACGAGAATGGAGTCCTCCATGATTCTTCTGATACTCATTCCGTTTCTTCTACCAGTTTTATATCTGCTGTATCTTCACAGGAAGATATGACATTAGTCAATTTGCATATGCAAGTGAATAAACCTATTGTAGATTCACCACTCCTAATGTCTAGTTATGTTAGCCATCTGACTCAGGTGATATTCTATGTTAATTATAACTTTGTAATCAATAATTTTTTATTGATTTAGGTTTGTATAATACATCTATCTTCAGGTACGTTGTTCTAATTGGAGTCAGTCATCGTTACCTTCTGGTGGTGATGCCTTTACAACCCCATTGTTCCAACGCACGGAAGACGGTAGATTAGTTTATATTGGGGGACGTTACGTACCTAAATTTGATACAGTTACAGAAGGTTTTACGTCCTTAAAAATGATAACGCGCAACGACGGATCACCTATGGCCGGTTCATCGAATAAAACACCGACCCATCCATATTTATGGGATAATTCAGCATTGATCCAATCTGAAAGTGAGATTACAAGTTGATGAATATAATAATCATGGTGATACTTGTATTATATTTTATATATCATTGCTCATAGGCGAAGATGACAATACTGCTCATAACGAAGAAGAATTATTGACTGCTCAGCATGAAACTGGTTCACGTACAACAGTTATAGTGAAGCTTAAAGGCGATGTTGATATCATGATAAGTCCAATGGTGCTAGAATCTCTACAACGCTTTATTGATGCTATTACACCTACGCTGGCCACTTTACATCCGCTAACAATTTTGAATCATTTGCATAATGAATGCATCGGAAGAGTTGAAGATGCTAATATTTTAAAACAAGATCAAAGTTTGTCTTATTGGAGTCAGGTTCAGACGAGCTCTAAACGGTCTACAGCTGAAAGGAACATTAAAAGCGGCCAAGGCGAAGATAAAAGTCAGTTCTATTACATTGTAACTACTGTTCCTAATTAACAGTAAAGTTCTATTTTAAAAATTCGTCCTGTTATTGCAGGTAAAATTGCATTGCAAACCAGTATTTATGAAGAAAGTATTACTACACAAGTTCAGGGAAGCATTATTTTACCAAAGGTAAATACTCACTGGTAGTTATAGCTTTAGAAAATGTTTAACTTACAAAATTTCAGTTTTCTTGCCATATCTGTGAATATCTTTATATAATAAAATTGTGTCATTTTTTTATAGATGAACATAACGTTATTGCAAGCATCCGTTGTGGAAGAAATAATATCTTTTTCAGCACTTGACAATATACGAGACTTGACCTGCGTATCTTTGTTTGCAATTTGCTTTGATGATGTGACAGCAAGATTTTACATTGGCAAACAAGCACGAGAAGTTGTTCAAACTTTTCACAAACCTGCTGTTTTACCCAATCAGAAGAAAGTGAATAAAATCAGTAAAGCATTCTTACCCGGTCACCAAACTACCGCTGTGGTTGCTGATATCGGGGGTGGCGAAACGGTATATATTGAAACATCGGAGAAACAACAAGAAGAAACTATAATTACACTTAATATAGGTACGATTCTATATTCTCGCCATTTTTTAATTCAATTTAGTTTGATTTTACATGCTTACTGTTTCTCTTGGCAAAAATAGGCAAAGTACATTCGCAGTTGCGTAGACTAAGAAACGAGTCGTCAATATTGAAAGATGCAGTGATTACTGCTATACCAACTCATTACTCAAGAGTACTCTTTACATGCACACGAATTACCTCCCCGTTAAAATGCATTGATTATTACTTACATCAGCCTACGGATGAAAAGGATAAACAAAGCGTAAGCTATTCTTAAATATATAAATAGTTATGAGTAATACTTTTTATTTTTATTTTTTATTATATTTTCTCTCACTTTGATTATACAGAAACAGACAGGTCCACCTCAAGCTACAGAAGAGTTTACAGTAGGAAGCGGCGAAGATAGACTAGGGTTTATAATGTTCGAGTGCGGCTTGGAAGGCATAAAATTGAAGATTGTCAAACGATCTCAATTTGAGAAAAATGATAATGGACATGACGATAAGAAAGCTGACACTGAAATATTCTATACCGACAGTGTTAAAAGTCGCGAAGAATTAGAAAATGCAGCAGGTATGTATAATACAGGAAAGAGTTAAATACTCATATTGGTTCTGGGATAAGTAAATATGTTTAATTAATTTTAGCATCTACTACTGCAACTACTGAAGTTGATACCGGTCCTGCGAATACTTCTAATGCAACCCAAATTAATACAAGTGCAACATGCACCAGTCTTGTTGCTAAAGAAAACAATGGAAATACTAGTTCTTGCGTGATAGAGTTGAAGACCGTGTGGTTCAATTTTGCTGCACCACCGCGCACGCCAATCACGAGAAAAATTGATTATACTAGATTAGATTGGAATTTATTGAGCACTGCATCACCAGCAATCAATGCATGGATGAATCCAAGTAACAGATTTGCTATTCGAATCGTACATATGTTTAGATGTATGTATCGCAGATCGACCGCCATTGTTGCCTGTCTGATGGCTGAAGCATTAGACGTTCAAGGAATACATATGCCCATAAAGGTCCATAATTATACAACACTAATTAACTTTCTCTGACTAACAATCAATGTATTGATAATTTAAAATATAAATTTATAATTAAATAATAGTAATTATTAAATAAATTGCACACTTTTGCAGAGTCGATACGGACGATTAACGCCGTTGGCAAAAACTTTGCAAGAAGATCCATCCTGTCAGTTGTGTAGCATTTTACAGAACTACGTACTATTGTCAGATCTTGCTACTATTGAAGCTAATCTCAGAGAGTCTGATTTACCATTGTTATCTACACTACGACAAGTACTCTAATAACAATATTAACAATTTTTTCATTATCGCCAAGAAGATATTTATCATAACTGCGTATATTTTTTCCAGGGTGTCATCGTTTTGAGCAGACAATGGAAAAATGTTCTGTATACTCCACTATTACTGGAGCATAACTACAAAACAAAACACGTTAAACCACTTAACATTACATTCGCTGTTCCAGATCCTGACGAGGTAAGACATTTATTTTTAATCTGAAAACTCGAACAAATTGTATTAACATGATTGTATTTCGATGCCATTGACATTCGTACAAACAGCCATGCTATGTTGCACGATACTTTGATGAGTCTACAATCATTTATCGCTGTATTTGTTTTTTTAACTTAACGTGCATCGATAATCATATAAAGTTATATGTGAAGAATTCTGGACGTATGCATTCAGAGAAAAAATATGCGAAAAGTAAATGAAATTATGGCATTCGAAGCTTCAAATTTAATGTTCTCGTGAAAGAATATTTAATTTCCGTACTCTATTATACATGTAAAAGCTGTTCTCAAAATTCCTTTAATTGGCTGTAAAATCTTAACAAAATGCATAATCCCATAGGAATACTATCTTCAATATATAAACAAGGCGGAACTGGAGGAGATTGTAAACAATAGAGAAAGGAGTAAGAATTCATTTACAAAATTTAATATTCTATTGTAATAACAATAATGTGTCGCGAGGGAGCATTTGTCGGCTTGCACACATAAAATCTTACTCATGGGTTTTACAATCACCATTTTTTTTCATTCTTTTAGCCTGTTTACTTTTGTTCTTAATCCCACAAAATAATATAGATCATTCAGCGCTGACACTCTATATGCAACATGATTTGTTACATTTATTGCTTTTTGTGAGATTTACCAAATTAAAAATTCAAATTAGTCCTGCATATTAATTATTTGCTCTTAATTGCTTTATTAATCCCAAAAGCAAACAATTTCTGCGGGATTCTTAAATACCTTAAACTTATACTGTTCAATAATATAATATCACTATTGCAAGTTTCTGGGTGCTCACCAATAATCTTAAAATTGTTCAATTATGTAACAAAAAGTGATTGCTAACATTTTTATGCAATAACCAGAAATTAATAAATTTTTTCTAAATAATGTTTCTTCAACTAATGCAATACTTATATTGTGAATAACAGTTGGATGCAAAGGGTATTATGAATGAGTGCATAGAAATTTGCTTTGGAACAGAAATACATTCTGATCTATTTCTATTAAAACTGTTAAATTTTATGTTATATTTCATGTTAAAAATATTGATCTGTTTTTTACTTCTCAACAATCATTATTCAATATACAACAGCATTGTAATTACATAAGATACATAAATGAATTCAACTTCTAGTTGTAGAACATTAATCCTTAACACGACAAGCAGAAGCCTTGTTACGTTGTTCTTAATTTTTTACTCTTCTTAAATTTACAAGATTTGACAATCTGAATTGTCCATATTAATACTTTGCAGAAACACAATTTTATTCTGCATAGTATATGTATCATTATTATTCATCTATATTTCTTAGAATCCTTATCTGTAATTGTTCACAAGCCTTTACAGTTGAATAATCATTGTGCCTCTGGTTCGACACATACATTATGTCCAAATGCAACGTTAATGCTTAGGCATCTTACATGTTAGAAGAGTCGTAGAAATGAGAAAAGATAGATTTGGCTTGCTAATGTGCAGGAGAATTTGCTGACGGATGGGGAGGGTAGTGCAGGCGATGTTGATGATCAGGAAGTGACTGATGAATGCGCAATGCTGATCCACACGGACCACATGCATAAACATGTGCAAGTCAAGAGTGGACAAGATAAGACTACAGGTATTATTAACTGACGATCAGGAGTAAATCAGGATTGCGATGATTGCGCAGCCACGCATTTGACAAGCTTTTTTGTAATGCTTACAGTTTTCTTCTGTTATCGCGTATTTGCTGACATTAATAAGCTTTCTTAAGAGCTTTCTTTTGAGCGTTTATTAATACTATGATTTTTATTTTTATTGGTGAGAAACATAATGACGTTCCAATAACTTAATTAAAGTAGTCGTAATTTTACTCCACATAAAGTTATAACGTTGCTAATTTCAAGAAGGATGAATTTTAAAGTTTTTCAACAGTTTACATTGTTGTATTATATGTATAATGTCATTATATTATTAATCTTGATTTACTTGAATAATACAATGCTTTTGCTTTTGATGAAAGTATCTCTAGTTATCCAAATCTCATTGCTTAGGGAGTTGTAGTTTATTGAGTTGTTACTGAAATTTTAAAAAAATGTATTTACATTTTTGTCCATGAAATGTTTTATATCGATAACGGTATTTATTTTGTATTTGTACATGTTGAAGCTTTTGTATGGGGCAGTTCAGCGTTATGTTTCCTCAAATTTCATACATATACCTTAATGTTTGCCAACATTATTGTCTTTCATTTTCATTACTATCTTCCATAATACATTTCATATTTTTGATCATCAATTTACTTTTACTTTATTACATTTGCATTATTAAAAAGTAGCTAAATATCTGCCTAAAGTATTTTCCAACAATATTACTTTGTATAGAGCTCAGTAATAAGAAAGTATAGAATTCTGTATTATGTAGAAACTATTTCCTATTATTATTTTAGCTACTATTTCATTTCCAATTAGTACTTAGTATCTCTTTCTTTATACTGTCTTACAAACAATAATATATATCTTTCCTAACACCAATGGCTTTGCTTGGTGTGGCATTAATCACAGGTTTATGTGGTGATGGTTTGACGGTACCCGTAAGCTCTCCCCGTGGGAGAGATACCACCCCTTTACCAACACCGGTTCCAGGTCCGGATTCGCTAACTTCTCCTTCTCCACCGATAGCCCTCCCAAGAAAAGGCAAATCACTGCAACCTACTCAAGTACCTGTTAGTACTCGAGCAAGTATTGTGTTTCCATTGCTTGCAAGTGGTGGTCTGTTCAATCAGCCACGGGAACCCAACAATATAAGTAAGTGTAGCGTAGATGAATTGTTCAACAGTTTTTGTACTATCAGCCATACAGACCATTAAAATTAGTGAAAATTTTATATTTTAAATTTATTGGAATAATCCTTATAAATTCTGAGTTCTCGAAAGAAGCTACTTTTCCATTTTAAAGAATGTGCTATTGCATCCAATCATTTAAATCTTTGCCATTAATCTTATTCACATATCATAAAGATAGCTTAAGCAGTGATTCAAGATATTCATTATCCAAAGCACTTTGTTCGCTATGTTATACATGTGGTGATGGTATGTCAAATATATAAAGTGTACATAACTTAAACTTAATTATGTTATGCTGATTAATTATACATTTTATACATAATTTTTTATTCAGGCTATGGAACATTACGTGAGGAAAAAACACCACAAATTCATATTTCCCATTCTCATCAATTGGGCTCCAATCCCAGTATTTATTCTGGTGGAGTAGGACATGGTAGTCAGCACAGTATTGGAAGTTTGGATCAAGTTACTTCGCCAACTAGTCATCATTCTAATAGACCTGTCAGTGCAGGTGAAGATCTGTACAGTTGGATGGCAAAGCAACAAGAATTCATAAAAGATAATGAAAAAGGAAACCTAAAAGGAAACTGGGTAAGACTACTATTTTTATACTCAATGCAAAAATTAATAGAAGACTTAATCTTCCCATATTTTTGATGTTGTTTCAATGCTATTGATGTCGAATGATGCATAGTGTGTCGAAACTATTTTTAAATTAAATGTATTACTTTCTTAGGTCTTTCGTGCTGAACAAAAGACTGTGAAGGTACTTAAACCTGTATTTATTGGCAGCATATGCTAAACAGATTTGATTTACATACTTTTGTTCCAAATTTAAATGTTTGATTTGGTTGCACTTCTGACTGTAAAAGTAAATACATTCTGTTATAATCACATCATTAACCATTTTTCAGGACTCCAAAATCAATACTATGACTACAGAAGATACAGAAGATTCTGATATTCATAGCGGTGCTTTTCTATATCCAATGAAAGATTCTTTACGCCTGTTGGATGCACATCTAATTTTTGAACCACTTTTATCTTCTCTTTCTGTGATGCCTCAACAAATGCTCTCTGCTATTGGTTCTGGAAATACGAATAATGTATCTTCACTAGATTCACTAGGATCAAATTTATCTCTCGTTGGAAGTATGGATACAATGCGTATTGATATAGTCGTCAGTGAATTTGGAAAGATGACGGAGAAAAAGAAAGGTTGTTATAAAATTGAGCCTGTTAAGTGTTAGTTTCTTCGAAATGAACTACAATATAAATCGTTATATATTTTAGGAAATAAAAATCAGTCCAAGAAAGCACTAGGGACAAAATTCTATCTCGATATACCGCCTGAAACGCCTGCATTTTTATGCGAGAAAATTGGCATTGACATTGATATTAAAAAGATGGCTGATATGACTGTCGATGATATGATACAAAAGCAAAACGTATTATACATTTCTAGAGGACAATTAAAGAAACATACAAGCACAATCGTCAATTTCAGTCTTCATATTCGATATATCAGTCAACAAGTGAACATGCCACTTTTGAGACTATTGCATCAAATTAGCAATATGTATCAGAATGTCAAAGAGACCCAAATGGAGCTAAAAGAAGAAGAACCTGAAACCAAAAGAAATACTAACTCAACAGTCATGGACGGCGCAGTAAAGAATGGCTCGTCCTCAAGTAAATGTTCCTCTTTTGTATATAGCATTCTAAAATGAATTCATAATGCAAGTTTTATAACTTGTTGTTTTTTACAACAGCATCCGATCTACCAGAACAGCTTCTCACAGATAGCAAGAAAGTGGAAGAAACATTACTTGGCAGTAATTTAGAATCTGGTCGACCAAAAGTTATATCACCTTCAGCAAGTATCAGGTCGCGCCCACAGAGTTTTGCACAGAAATTGCGTAGCACTGGCAAAAGTGTAAAAGGATATATCAATTTAAGTGAGGGTGTTATAACACCAAATTTTGGGGCAAGTCCCAATGGATCCGGTTTGGATAAGTTTAGCGTGTTGTCTGATAAAGGCAAAGATAGTTCAAACTTAACGCCAAGATGTTGGAAAACGATATATTATCTTCTTGACTTATACGCAACCCGACCGGAAACCAAAACTATCACACATCGTTTTTCTGTACCTGCTGATGCAACGGATCAATATAAAGGATCTCGAAAGTATGAGAATCTTAATGAAACAAAGGACGCGGATATTGAGAAAGGATTAAACGCTGAAACAAGTTCAACACCAGTACCTCCGCCAAGAGAACTAAGTACGTGAATATAATCAATTTTAGTTGCTCTGCAGAATCACTTTGCATCTATACTTTTCAAAAATATATGTTTCTCTTAGATATCGTCACAGGGGAACGCACGAGATTGATAATATTCGGTGTAGCCAGAATACACAGGACTAGATTGCTGGCAACTCTCAGTGGTCTGAAACTTGAGGCAGAAATTACAAGTTTACATGCCAGTTTAACGTGTCGTAAAAAATCACGACCTGCTAGTTTAGAATGCAGTCTCACTGGTCAAATTGGCAGAACAATGATTGTTCTGTTAGAAGGTGTAGCACCTAGTCAACAAACCGTCGTGAAAGTAACAGTAGGGAAATCGCAAGCTTTGTACTCAAGTGTTACAAGAAGACAAAAAGATAAAAACAGTGGGTTACTCACAATAGGTGCTGTGAATATAGATATACCACAGCATCCCGTAGCTTTACACGGGATGATGACAAGAGGTAGTAAGCAATTATCTTCTACGCTACAGGTAAGTTTAAAATAAAATATAGTATACATACAATCATTTTTTGAATCACGAATATTAATGGCATATGTCATTTGTATCTTTAGGAACTTAGGGTCACTAGAACATCATCGCGAATATCTCGTGGCCAGCAGCCTGAAGAGACTGATGGTGCACCCGGAAGTCCTCATCATTATACACCTGCACCCACGATAGATATAGAAAAGCCACAAACAGTGTCTGGCCTTTTAGAGCCAATTGTTATGCAGTTCCATATAATTTTGCAAAGCTTAAGTATAACAGCGGCATTGCTACCGTCCTTACAAGCTCAATACAAAATGGATCAAGTAAATAGTTCGGGCACTACAGGCAGTAAAGCTAAATTTACAATTGATTTGCCACACCACAGCTTGAGCTTCACAACGAAACTGCAAGTGACCGAAGCTAACCTTCCTTCTGAAGCTAGTATCGAACTGCCAAAGGTTCACGTTTCAGCGGAATATATTCAAGATGGAAACAGTAATTTGAATGATAGCAAAATAGCCGGTAAGTTATCTGAAATGTTAAATAATTTAAAGATTACATTTTTATTGGATGAACTAGGATAGTATACGATTCTAAATTTTGTTTCTGCACGTTTCAGATGGTGTTGTACTGAGACAAGGCAGCTACTTAAGTGCAACTGCGGACATTGGTGTATTTGAGCATTCCTTGACAACAGATCTCTTGAATCATTTGGTGTTTGTACAAAAGGTATTCATGAAAGAAGTCAACGAAGTTGTACAAAAAGTCTATGGCGGTGAAAAGCCAGTACCGTTATGGCTCGAAGACGAGGAACCTACTAGCTCTAGTCTGAAGAGAATATTATTTTCATTGATTATTCGCATTAAGGTAATCGTCACTTGTAATACATATAAAGTATACATTATTTTGTACATATATTTTGACTCAATTTTTATAACACTGCAGTAAATAATTGCAATGCATATTATACATTCTCAGATACAGTACAAAAAGATATAAACTCGAAAATAATCAGAGTGCATAAACCTCGGTTTTTAAATTTTACAGAGAATTCAATTGACCGCAACTACTCCTACGAATTCTGCAGTTCGTCTGGAAACTGGTGCAGTAGAATTTCAATTATCAAATCGTGTACAAAATGTATCCGGTGCCACGCAACCAAACCCATATATGAAGCTCTTTGGCAAAGCTCAAGTCGACATTAATTTGAGTCTTGGGCAACTACTAAAAAATGTCATGTTTGAAGAAGCAGAACCTGAGTTTCAACAATTTGCCTTCTTCAATACCAGGGTCGGCTTGCGCAATGCCTTCCAGGAGGAAATGGCACAAGGCGAAGACAAAGAAGTAGTTTTAATCACCCTAAAGCGGCCATTGATTTATATTCAGCCCATGGCAGTCGACAAAGCCATTCTCGTCTGGCTCAATTATAAAAATGCTTATGAATACTGGAATGAGAAAAGAGCAAACTTGAATAAGGAAGTGTTAACTGCTACGCAGCAGGTCCTTGAAAAAGTTCCATTTGGGCAGCTAACAAGTCAGCTTAGTGCACCTCATCTAGGAACTTTATTCCTGCAGCTGACTGTAGATGATATGGGAATCTGTATACCATTAAATCCATTACCACCAAATAATTGGGGTCTTAACAGAGGATTGTATGATGGAGAATCTAGGGGTGCGGTTGTTGTTACGCTTGAAAGCACCAGTATATCTGCGTGCAGTAGCGGAAGCTTAGTTAGTAAAGGCCGGTGAGTAGATTTGTAATACAATAGAAAATTTGAAAGTTTTAAAATCTACATACATATATAATTGAATGACCTTTTCTTTTTCCAGGTTTGTGGGTCTATGTCTAAGGTTTGCTGAAGACTTCGAAACTTCTTTGGATGACTGGAAACCAGATATGACAGATAGTAGCATTATGAATCTATGTGTAGTCTCAGAAGGAACGTATGAAGTTTGTAGTAGAACTATTGCACAAAAACAGGATAAATCAGGTAAATACATAATAATATATTATACCGATATATGTTGATTTTAGATTTCATTATATTAAAATTGTTTTATTTATAGATAATGCAAAGTGGTTACTGAATGTTCAATGGCAAATGGAAGGTGTGGATATTAATCTTGATGTAAGTGTAGGACAACAACTATCAGCATTAGGTCATACGTTGACCATGCTAACTGGCTCCGAAGAAGACGATGGTCATATACCAACTGATTATGACAGCGATGATGGGGATCAACCGGACAACAGTACTAGCCAGGTTAAGAAAAAAGTAGGGTTTATTTTCTTTTTGAATTTTATGTGTGGAGTGCTGTGACGTCTAACTGCTGGTAACGTATACTCGGTTGTATAATTATACCTTGCAAGTATGGCTATTTCGAGATCTAACCTGATTTTTGCCAGAGTGACTTATGCTTTTGAGTTTTTATTTAATATATTTTTTTAAGATGAATAAATTAGTTCTTTTTGTTGCTTTTCGTTTGTCATAATAATTATTATATTATTTGTACCAATGGCTTAAATTATCCTTATAGGAAAGTATCTTAATGAAAAAATCCAAAAACTGGACGGATAGTCTTCCGGCTTTTGTATTTGATCCATCATTAGATGCGAAAAAGCGGTCGAAACTAATTGAAAAAGAAATGAACGAGCAGGCTAAAATAATCAATGACTTGAGATCATTAGGAGCTTCTCACGGTACCATAGAGCAGGAAATGAAACGTTTACATGAATTGGAAGCAATGGTTTTCAAGGATTTCAGAAGGTATATAATAAGAATGATTGTTGGTAATAAGTCTCGATGATATCTAATTTTTTATAATCAATTTTACTTGTACAGAGACATGATTCAAAAATTAAGAAGACAATCGGTAAAGGCTTCAGGTATAAAAGGCAAACTTGGTCTGGGTAGCAAAACAAATGCTTACAGATCAAGATCTTTTATTGTGCCATCACCAACACCAGAGCATCAACTGGAAAGTCCAGATGATATGAATGCAGAAGTGAATTCCGCCAATTCCGCAAGTTTCGAAAGTAGTCCAAGAAGTGGTCCAAGCCGGTGAGTATTAACATTTCTAAATGTCATGAGACAAAATAATTTAATATATCGTTTCTATATATATATATTTCATATATCAAACAATTTTAGTTCGGCATCCCTTCGTGTAAGAGGACTAAGCGGACCAAGGGTCACATTTAGCGATACTCATACAATGTGCAGGTAATTAATATCTTCATATTATAATCGCTAATTAATCAAATACTTGATAAACATTATAAAATTATTCCCAAAAGGCAATCTTCATTACCTAGTGCGGGATCTGAGTTAAGTTTACCTGAAGGAGATTTAGAATGGCCAGATACTATAGACATTGAAGGAGAACAGGTGGAACTAAGGAAAAAACACCGAGATACCAGTTGTGCATCCAGTTATGATAGTATGGAAGGAAAGTATGTAATTTCCACAAATACATATCTTTTAAGTTTAGATTAAAATATTTAATTATATTAATTTATTTAATATACATTACTAGTGTCCCACTTCTTGACTCCTATGCCAGAGAACAAACTTCGACAACATCATCTCCACATATTGCAGTTCAAAAACCGCAAGAGCCGAACATTGATTTTGAACTCGATGTCAAAGTTTTAATAAACAGTGGAAAATGCGTTTTGCATACTAAAGATGCCCGTGAAGATGAATTGAAATTGTACGTATTTAATATAAACTATTTTTTATTATACTAAAGATCCAGCCGCTTAGTGTATATAATTTTCTAATCCGCTTATCGTATTTTTTCTTGCTTATTAGAATGAGTAGGATGAAAAAGGAACGTTCTTGTTCAGGAGGGACATTTGAGTTCCAACCTAGTAGTCCAAGTAGTAGCAGAAAGCACTTGAATAATAAAGAAAAGTCTTCAAGTACCAGTGCATCGAGACTGAAATATCTACAACATGCAAATGTGCCTTTAGTCGACTTGACAATTTTCCACATTCCAGGATTGGACGTGAAGGTAAAATTAACACATTGTGTGCGAGCTATCTTGCGTGCGGTGCGGACTAAAACGTACTGCTTAGTACGTGTCCCACTTACAATATGTTAATAAAATATTTTGTTGTATTTGAAATATTTTTTTTAAGTTTACTATTTTTTACTACAATGTTCATTCGTTTTTGGATCATCAGGTGCATTATGAGTCAAAAACGCTTCCTGAAGATTCCATGTCACCACGCGTGTCGGCAGACAACAGTTTATTGAATCCAATGTCGGCGACATTGCTTAAGAAATTTAGTACCAAAAAGGCTAGTTTGTTTGCATGGATGACGCTTCAGAGCATTCCTGAAGAAACTATTATAAGTCCTCATATTCTTGAGTTCTTGGAACAAACTCTAGAACCAATTCCAAGTAAAACAAATTTTCAAACTGGAGCGCATACTGCTACTGTTTTTTCTCTGGACAATACGGAGAGTACATCTTGGGCAGCTACAGCCGCTAGCGGAAACTATGTTTATGCAAGTTTTCCAGTGGATGTAATAGTATATTTTCATATGCAGCCATCCACCTTCAGGTTAGTTTATTAATTAATTCATCTGACTAGAATACTACATTTATAGAAATACCTTTTTTTTTTATATACTACAGATTTTCTTGCCTGCCGGTATCGCGTGTAGAATGCATGCTCCAGCTACCGTCTCTTGATATTGTATTTTCTTCGAAACGAGCTGAAGAAGAGCTGACGGAATTTCGAGAATATAAATCTACGTCTGCACCATCGATGGCAAAAGAAGTTGGATCAGCCATCGGTGGTTTATCAGTTACTGGTTGCCTAGCTGATTTCTCTGTTTACATTTTCCATCCATACGGTGGTGGTAAAAAGTCTGGATTAAAGGAAGCACAGTGGTCACCATTGTCTGATAGTGAAAGGAAAGACTCATTAAGCATTAACGTTGAATTTGTAAAGTTTCACTTGTCAAGGAGTAGGAAAATAAACTTTCAAAGTGAACAGATAAAGAAGGGGACAGACACAAGTCGAGCAGTTATCCGATTTTCCAGTATGTATTTATTTGTATTATATTTGTCTCTGGCCATTATTTTATTGCCAATAATTTATTAAAAATTAATTTTATACCTTGCAGCTATCATCGACATAGGATCAGCATCATTTAAATACGATATGCGTCGATTGACTGAAATTCTTGCCTTTCCTAAAGCATGGTATCGTCGTAGCATAGTCAGACGTATGTTCCTTGGTGATCTTAGCTCAGGAACAGCTTATTCCGAAGGTGACGGTAGTCCTCCATTAAATCAAGAAGAAGCAGTTATGGGTAGTTCCTTGTTAAAGCATTACGAGAGACACGCTGGGGATGCATTATCAAGAAGTGCGCCAGAGCGAAGTCCAACATTAAATAGAGATAGATTAAAATTAAGTTTGGAAAATGACATACCAAAACAATCTCGTCTGAAAGGTAAAATTTGATACCATTGGTTTTCTAGAAATATATTTTAATCCGCGTTTTCTCGTATTAATCTTAGATATTGGTAAAGGATGGAGTTTCAATACTGAGAAGCAGACACCGTCAGAAATAAAAATGCGGGAATCTGCTTGGGAGACACTGGTTCTTTTTGCGGTGAACTTTACACGTCTGAATGTTCATATGAATATGGGAAATGTCATGGGGAATGTCTCGTGGATGACTAAAGATTTCCGATCCGATGGTAGACTTTCCATAGGCAGTACTGGTTATAAAAATCTTTACATTGGCGTTGGATTAGGAGGATCTAGTTTGGATGCTAAAGGTGGTATTGTTGGCGGGATTATAGAACTGAGTAAAATTGACACATACAGTAAGTAACATTAATATCAATTAGGAGTTGTTATTTTAATCGTAATTTTATTATTTTTAATATTAACTTAATTTTTTAGTACATATCCGTGAAGAGCCTGGTACCGAACCAGATCATACAGTCGGGTTAAAACTATTTGCATTGGAGCTGCGATTGGATTACATGGGAACTAGTGTTTTAATGTCCAGGGTGTCCTCATTAGATGTTACACTTAGAGATGAATGGAAAATAAACCGTAACAACAGTGGAGATGCTTTTATGCCAACGAGAAGGTAACTTCAATTACTCATTCAATTATATTAAGTGAATAACTTGCATCTAATAGAAATATAATTTATTTACTTTTACATAGACCAGCTATAATCTTTATGCATGGTGACTTGGGATGGGACCAACTGCAAATTATGATTAGTAAATCAACAACCGCGGATCTTTTGAAAATGTTCTATAAATTAGATGAATTCTTTAGTCAACAATTTAAGAGTAGTAAGCGAGTATTTAGTTCGCTACAACCAAAACACCAAAGAATGAATAATAATAGTTTCAAGAAACGACAGCAGAAGAAGAAAACGACTATCGATGGTAATCATATTAATTTGTTCATAGGATATTTTATTATAATTATTTCTTACGTGTAATATTCTGTAGGACCGTGGACACTAAATCAAACGGCAATATCTGACGCAAGACATCATCGCCATTGGCAACGTGTATTAACACAAGTAGCAGGACTTCAATTAGGATCACTAAGATTTTCGTTACCATCAAATGGCACTGTTCTTGGCGGTACAATGGAATTACACGGGTCGAATATTAGTCTGGCCTGTTTCCATGGGATAAATTTCAAAAGCAAGAGCTGGGCGCTATTCTCTTTGAAAGAGCCATGTATCAGTTTCGCTTCTGAAGCCCAAGAGATACCCAGCGTCGAATGTAAGATATATTTATGCGACTATTTTTACTTTATTAATATAAGAAATATTAAGAAATATAATTATCTACAATAGCACCGGAAACATGTGACGTACATGTTGTCCAAACTTTAACTATAAGTCTGGGTCAACAACAGCAAGAACAACATGCAAGGCATCATTCAATGGCTACAGTTTGTAGATTAAGCCGTAGTGTACTGTTTCCGCCGCAATTTAAAACTCTGCAAGAATGGTTCCACTACGCTTTTGCTAACAGTGAAATAGATGGTAAGTACATTAATAGTGACAACTATCATATTGGGAAAGCTTTCTTTTTACGATATAATATACGAATCAGAATTTTATATATGTACAAACTTTTATTATCAATAGCCGTGGATCGGTTTCCTTGTGTCGAAAGAGAACGAACGGACAGTACATCCGAAGGCAGCAATGCAACACGTGGTAGAAGCACATCCACAACTTCTGGAAAGATACAGGAACATTCTCACACGAGAGAAGTCATATTTGCTTTGCCATCTTTGCAATTGCATCTGAAAACCGAGCATTTGCAAACGGCAAGAACCCCAGATGTAATAGGTAAATGGAAATTCATAATAATAATATCGTTGCAGTAAAATGTTTCACAATTGTGTCTAAGAAAAAGTGTTTTGAAAAACAAAATTTACTCTACGATATCATTTGTCACAACTTTACAATGGTTAACAACACGATACGAAGAAACTCTATAATTGCAAACAGTTTTTAAAAAATTATCAAGAGTTATCCAATTACGTGAATACATGAAAATTTATGCGCATGCTATACGTCTTTTATATATCACTGTCTATTTCTTCTTCATCATGCTTTCGATGGCAGATGATAATTTAATACACTTCGTTGATATTAACACTGGCACCTTGGATTTTCTGTACTATTGTATAATTCTCTTCTCTGTATATTTTTAGGGCTGCCTAAACATATTTTGTATAGTAAGTACTGTGGAATATTGAATTAGATTTTTCTTATTCTGAATGATAATAATTCGCTTTACCTTGGTACTCTTTAATGCTGCTAGTATTAAATCATCAAATATCTAAAGTTTTATCAAAATGCATGATTATATGCATGGCAATGCTGCTATTCATCATTGCAATTTTTGCAGATAAAGTGATGCTTTATGATAACACATCTGACTCGTATCATTTGCATTGCATTACACAACAATCAATGAAATCAGAATTTTTGACTATACTGGTCTCCACTATAGATCAAAAAGCCTTATCTCTGATTGTTTGAAAATGACAGAAATGCTAGTCGACATGCTAATATTTGGAATTTTGAAAATACAAATCTACTTTATCATATTACATACCTTTGAGATTTAATTAAAGAAATTATTATTTCATTAAATAACGCTATTGCATAATAAGTCTATTATTATATATTTACAGTCGCTATCAAGTCGTGTACAGATTCAACAATTTTCAAGTCGTCTAATTAATATCAGAATAAACAAATTTCATTGGTGCTAGTTTATCATATTTATCCACGGCACAAATAATTAGCATAGTGTTCCAATTATATCATAAATGCATTTCTGTAGGTTCACCGATATGACACCATAAAACATCACATTGCAGTGAAATAATATAGTTTTCATTAGAGCCATTGTATGTCATTAATTAATGATATACAATCATTGCTACAAATTATATACAATTTCTTAACAGGTGAGAAACCATTGGTGGAGTGCAGTTTCATAACAGAATTTGAGGATCATATTTTTGTCACTGTCGATGCTGAAGCCTTCTTCTTTTTACACGATCTAATTACATCATACGTTAAAGAAAAGGAACGAGTAGTAAGTATTATACGTCTTTCTTAATGTTACAAAGTTACATTAATTTTATCATCGCGCAGCATGCCATACAAGGTTTCGGTGCGAGAGCACACAGTCCAGATCCTCAAGAAAGAAGAAATACTAATGCAAGTACTTCGAGTGCTTCGACAACCACATCAGTTTCTGCAGAAGATGAGAGGAAACGAAAGCAATTTGATCCTGCAGAAATGTTTATAAAAGATTGGAGATCATACAGATGTAAGACGTGGCACTTGGAGCCTACTGTCAGGTACAGCAATAACAAACATATTAAACATATTAAGTTTTGTGTCTTCGGTAATATCATGATACCAGATATATTTATGTACTTATTCCAATAAAGGTTACTCTCATGGGCTGGCAAAAGTATAGAGCCTTATGGCATAGATTATATTCTACAGAAACTTGGTTTCTCTCATGCACGCACTACCATCCCTAAATGGATTCAGAGAGGATTTATGGATCCTTTGGACAAAGTACTTGCTGTACTTATGCTGAGAATGGTTCTTGCTCTTCGCGAAGAGACATCGGATGACAAGGAGCGTAGGAAAGAAAAGTAATTACGTAGATTAAAGTAATCTCGGTAGTAATTGACATCACGTGAATAACTGTTAATAGGCGTGAATCTTGTGACTTCAATTACTTGATGGCGCCGGTACCAAAAAGTAAACAATTCTTAATACCATGTGATCTTGGTCGTTGATATAAACGATTTAGCAAGCTCACAACTGAATGTGTATATTTCACAATTTCCTTTTAACTGTAATCAAACTATAAAGAAGAATTTGTGAAAAAAAAGTGATGCTAGATTTATTAGTGAAAATATATTAAGAAGTGGATCATAATGGCTGTCATAATAATCGTTGTTGATGTAAGAACTGTTAATCTCTTGTATTTATGAAACAAATGTATATCAGATGTGTATGATGTGTTCCACCGAGGTTTCATATTCGTGGAAAGTATATGATTTATAAAGAGGAGGAAAAAGATAGGAATGAATTAAGGTCGACATATTACAAAGCCAAATACTGAACATTCTAATGATATTAAAGGTTCCTTCTTTGCTTTGTTTCAATTGAAATATTATAGATAAATGCATCCTTATTTCTCGTATATGTATAAATACAATTTAATCGCGAAAATAAATTAGTATTGCAGTCCTATTATGAACAAAACGAAAAAATCTTATATAAGCTGTTACTCTATTGCGTAGATTTTCTAAATATGTTATGGCCCCATAAACGTACGTCAAAAATAATGATAGGTGCTAAATATAAGCAAATTTACAACTGTGTAATATATATATTTACAGTTTAGTCTCATTTTGACGTTTCAATCACCGCGGTATCCATTATTATCACGCCATTATTTATAATCCCACCGACAACCAAGATGCTTCAAAAAAATTGATATTGAGATTTGAATAACAAATTAATATTTTTTACTTGTGCTTCCGAGCGTATTCTTTATTACTCAACTGCCCTGATTTTACAGAAAATTAAATAAATTTTCTTACAATGAACGTAGGATCAATTGTACAGTTTAGTATTTTCATTATACTTTTACTTAGAATGAGCAGGTAATGGAATAAAGTTTTAGCTATCGTAAATCATAGGACTTCTTACAATACTTTCTAATGAAAAATGAACATCTCTATAGTTCAACCAATATTCACATTTTATCAGTGACATGTATCACCTTAACTGTACCATTTCTATACTCTTTATAAAACCATCCACGGAGTTTAATTTTACAGACTGGTCAATGAGAAACTGATAGTACATCGAATAAATTTTACAAACAATTATACTGAGCAAGTGTCTACGGTGAAAAAGCTGTATTAGAACGAAAAGACAAATACCATCCATGAATTATAGTTACAGTCGATAGATGATCCTTGTTTTATAAATGACTTAACAATAAAAATTATACAAAACATGTTTTCAGGTGTGTGATTGTCTTCATGTTGAATGAACCAAGTTTCTAGCTCGTAGAGCAGTTGTTTTATTCTGCTACAAGTACAATAATATAATTATTATAGTATAATAATTTTGTAATAATACAATTAATAAATATGTAGATATTACATTTACATAGATTCATGATCAAATATACAATTACACTGTAAAATTCAGTGCACAAGGCACTTAATCTTATTTTAGTAATTAGTGATGATTAACATTTTCATTATCTTAAGATCTGTTGCGAAAGGAGGTCTTGAAGACTAGTAATGTATTAGTGCTCTAGTGGGAAAATGTTACCGCAACACGATCAACAGATCCTTATTACATTGCAACTATTCAAACAGTAGTCACTTTCGTAAAAAAAAAATAAAATGAGACTATAGGTCATTACTGCGTCAAATATAATATTAAAATACATGGAATGCTTCAATGCAATAGTGATAAATTGAAAAGATGCGTAAATTTGTTGCAAAACTTGAAATCGTTTAATGTTTTTTTGGGATTTGGAATATTTATACTGGGCAAAAGAACAATTGTTCAACATTGGTATTGCATAAAAATGTATCACCATTACACGATAAAGACAAGTTTTACACGCATCTTTTTTAAAATATACGAACAATGGCCCGGCCATCAATGGACCGTTAATCACTATATCATTTGATCGTATAGATAACAGGACAATGGTTGCAATAACGTCTTAATCAATTATTGAAAACAATTTATATCTGCTCTTCACTCAATTAATTTGAATGATTGCACCGGATAATTGAACGGATCAATAATTGCCATATCTATCTGATTACTACATCTAGATCCTGATACAAAGTTAGTACGTGCAAATATGTATTACTCCGTGTCACGCTGAATTCCAGAGACAGCAATAGTAACATAAATGATAGTCAAATCATATTATTTTCATTAATATGTCAGACTGCAAGTATTCTAATTGCATTATATTCACTTATATCTATTTCAATTTTTAGTCATACAATTTGTATAATATATATATATTACTGAAGTGTATGTACAAATCACTATTGTCTATATTATTTAGTAGCTATGAATTATCATTTCAACTACTTAATTGCCTGCATATCATCACAGGTCTTTGCTGCCAATGTCATACATTAAAGTTACATATTCACATACAGTGCGGCAAAAGCAATAGATAGTGAAAAGTACTTAGACAAACAATGCAAGCCACTCGCCTTTATGAAAATATGGTCCTTTTATAATTACTGCGTTTAAAGATGGTTGTAAATAACACTATATATCAGCTGCAGAAGGCGAAACCATAACAAAGATTTTAATTAAATTATTCATCCAAGTAATCGACAGTTTTAAATTTCTAAAAACATTTTTATCACAATTGTTGTGGCCTTTTTACTCTTATTGAAATAATTGATTTGCATTTGAAAAAAAGTCAAAATATCAATGTGTTAACACTTCGTATTAACTATTTATATTCAATAGTACTGTAATTCACAATATTGCTGATTATTCTTTAAAAGATGCGATCTACTTCAATAGTAAATCCACTTTTTTTACTATATATTTAGTCCAACGTATTACTTAAAGATAATGAAGAGAGAAATGCGACTCATAAAATAAAAATGAAATATCAAACAATATTCAAGTTAAATCATACACATACTGTAGCAATGAAAAATGTACAAATGTCTTATCATTATTTGTTGCGTATGCTCCAAACCATTGTGAGAATTACGAAATTAAACAAGATTTTATACGCAGTAAAAAGATGTCTGTGAATATTAGAAAATTTACAGAATAGTTGTTTACTAGCTAACAGTTTTGCGCTGCCTTATAACGACCATTCATTGTCTATGCTAAGTAAATAATTTGAATATGTGATCTTTATATTGTTACATCAACATAATATAATTTATATTTTACTTATCGATTATCAATGTTCTGTATGGTACATCGCATAGTACATCATGCGTGTGTTCTGTGTATGAATTTCACTAGTTGGACAAATGCATCCAAAATTCAATATACACAGTAAACAAATTTACACACTGCACTACGCGGTAGTAATTTTACCGCTGTCAATATGCCTTCCTTAGATTTGCACTTCTTAATGCAACAAAAGATTCTAATTACTATCAATATGCTGTATACCTCATTTTTTGTGCTTATAGATGAAATTTCTAATTCATTTATATGAGAAATGACTGTAGAATTATAAGATGATGCATTGATGAAGTTTACAAATCCATTCAGAGAAAATTCAAGATTTTCAAAACTGTATTTTTTAAACCGAGAGTATATATCAGTCAACCAAAGAATTATCCATAGGAACTTCGTTTTCTATAATACCCAAGGCCATTGATAAATAAAATAGATTAGTATGTTAAGAAAAATAGAATCTAAAAATTATGGTATGCACGTAAAAGCTAATAAAACCATTTCAAATTGCAATTCTCTCGGAGAAAAAATTAAGTTTCAAAATCAGCATTAAATTATTGATGAGACTTTAAAAAAAAAACTAGAATTTTATATCGTCGATAGATGCTTGGCTTGTAATGCTGAAGGGGATAATTTTATATAAAATTCCCATGCGTATAATGATTAAAAGGTGAAACAAGTATAGTGAATAAGAGAGAAGAAAAATAGAGCAATGTAAATCTTCGAAATTCTGTTTTGAGACATTTGTTGCCTGCTTGTAACATTTAACATATATTTTTGATATAACATTTGTTAATTTTTATGTTCTTTATCATTACATGATATCTTGATTTTAAAATAAAACATTAAAGATTATTTTTATAAAAATTTAGATACATCACGAGTCATAAAAGTAATTCATACTTTAATTGATACTTTAAAAGAAAGCAACGTTTGCAAAAAGCATAAACCTTTTGAATTCAAAATTATTACGTATAATACGCACAGAAAGGAAATACGTAATTAGTTCAATATAATCCGACTAAAAATCCATTAAAATAATAATTGCACAACGTTTTGTAGCTGCCGGCTCTATTACGCAATGGGTACTATGTATATGCTAACGTCAAAACCAAGAATCGTTCGGTGAGTTTGTGCAAAAACAGATTCTTAATGTTAACATAGGCTGACAGATAACATTTTTGTAAAAATTTAAGGATAAGTCTGCGCACTGACTCTCGGAATTTCAATGATAATTTCATACATAGGTGTAAATGAATAGAGCACTTGACACAAAGTATTCGTTTGTATGTCTGCTATATGTCTTACCTTTCATACATCTAATGAATCTTGAAATACAATTATATATTCTGGACAATCTAGTATAACGATATACAAAATACAATGTCAGATTTTTTTTAGAATTGAGATTCAATTATATATATTAGATCTTATGTTTGCCGTTAAAAAAGAACTTCGAACACGCTATCAAGGCATAGTGGTTCCGATATCGGGTAGACTAAAAAGTCCACTCTAGTCTATATAAACTTAAGAACCTGTAAGTGATATGTCAGTTTCTCATGATGTGCGATACACGTGATGCTAAGAATATCATTACTCCTCGCAATCTCTATAGAAATGCAGTGTAAATTCTAAATAATCTCCACCATTACGATTCTGGCAGATATTCTGCAACAAAAATAAAAAAGAACTATTATCATCCAGGATCACAAAATACTGAAGATCAGCTTTCAAAAAGATGAACTCGTATAAGAATAAGAACATCCTTGATCTTCCAAGATTGTAGTACGATTAATATTTTTAATAATTTGTAGAATAATGAGCCTCTCCTCTCTCTTATTATACTTACTTCTTGCGGTTGAACAGTAGGCACGCGGAACCTCAATGTTTTCCTTAGATAATGCGCTACGTCCAAAGAAAAAGATTGATCGCCAGGTTCACTACTCCTTCGCGTGTTTTCTCTTTGTTGCTGTGTTGGATAACCCCAACCGCATGCCATTGCTTCGTCAACCGCCACGTTTGGCGGTAATGGACACTGTTGTACAATTTGCCAGTACCAGGGCATCCCACTGCGTAAAAGTAAGATCGTACTTTTATAATATATATTGTCGATTAAATGCTAGTAAAATCTGTCATAGTGGTATAGAAAACAATACTTACAGAAAGTGTAACGTGAGGTGGGTATCAGGCATGTATTTGGACAGTGGTATAATGCAGCTGACATTATTAGGAGTACTCAAGGATGAACAGTATCTTTGATCCAGAGAAACATTGAAGCTCTTCGCTGTTATAAATAATTGAGGCCTACGCTCTGGAGGCAATGATCCTGCTGCATTGCTGGCAACTTCACCCCAATCTCCACCACCGCCGGCTTCCCGCCTCGTTCTTTTATGAAGGTACTTATAATTGCTTTGCTAAAAAAACAAAAAGGATAGTCGTTAAGACTCAATCTAGAGCGTGCGTTATCAGGATGCATTCGATTAAAGGAAATGATTACGCTGGGATTGACTTACCTCCTTCACAAGTGTTTCTGTGTTAGGATCAGATGGACTGATTCCATTTTGGAACCCCTTGCTAGATTTTCGCTTTTCTTCGTGTATACTCAATGGTTGCTCCAAATGATCTACTAAGAAGAATATATTGAATATTGCAATATAACTGTCAACCTTAATTTTAACGTAATTTGAACTAATTATTAAAGATGTAAATCTTATATTAAACTTACACAAGGACTTCTTTTCTGGTGGATGATCCGGGCGTGGTTCTTCCAGTTGATGTATCTCAGCCGTACAACAATATATCTGTTTTACAGTTATAAAAAATGTTAAATATCACATATAAGAACATGTTATTCATTATAGTATTACGCAACTTTGATTTACTACTCATTTATTAGTTACCTGGCATGGACTTTCCAACTCTGTAAAATGAGTAGAGCAATCGAATGGTCTTCCTATGGGAACCAGACCTTTACTCGGTGGTGGAGCATCCACATCTGTTCCTTGATCATTCTCATCTACATTGCTAGGCATAGCGCCTGGATTATTTCTACTAAGCCAGTTGCTAGGAAGTTCACTAGGTTAAAAAAAATAATTAAATAACAAGATCAATAATGCATATAATACAGTGTGATTAATTTGTGGAATGAATCTGCTATAACTAACTTACCTATTCTTTTCAAATCTATTTTGAGGACCAGATGGACCCACCGGATACCAAGTTATTTCTTGCGAGTACAACTGTTGCTTAGTATTTGGTGTTTGCGTAGAAATCATGCCGCCTCTAACGGATGTATAGCCATCCATGCCTTTAGTATATGTCCCATGCACAGTATAAGATGGTGGCAAGGTACTGTGAAGTAATGGATTGAATCGAGGATCATAGCCTGGTGTAGTTGGTAAATTCGGTATGTGACTTGGACCTGATGCAAGTTTTCTACCGCCTGCTAAAGGAGTCCATTCAAGGCTACTTCTTTTCTGATATTCCAGAAAATATAAGGTTGCCATTGCCACAAGGCTAAAAAAGAATTAATAAATTAATTCCAAACGTTATTAATGACTTTAATATGGAGATTTTTGGTTTTTATTTTATTGAAGGAATAAAGTCGTAGAATGCATAAATAAGTACCAAAAGGCCATAATAAGAATAAGGATAACGATGATAATTTGAATAAATTTATTGCTGCAGAGCAATTCCTCATCTCTGTCGGGTCGCTTGCTTCGTCTTGGTACAGGAGTTTTTGCGCTGATTGATGATGCATATTTGCTGCTCGAAATGCTGGAGACTGTACTAACGGAACTTTTTAAACTGTCGCCTCTTTTCAATTTTGCCAGACGCTTGTTAATTCTCTCTAGTTGATCTATCCTAGTTTCTAAACTGTCCGTTACCTACGAAGGCATACAGATACGTTTATCCAATCCATAATAGATAAGTATAGCCTATTATCAAGATATAATCGAGAGAAATCTCTGCAACTTACTTTGCACAGTTCCTTCACAGCTCCAACGTTTTCCATAAATATTCTCTCCTTGTTCACTACCAAAAAATTATCTATTCTCTGTCCGTTAGGAAGTACAATATCACCAGCTGGTAGAACCGCTTCAGGTAAAATCTGTTGTACTTCTTGTGCTATCACCCCAGTATCTTCCTGAGGTTTGATACCGAGACCAGAGTGCAATGCAAATTCTGGTGCATAGCGATATCGAACAACCCGTAACTGTTGAACATTTCTTAACTGTTCACGTGTATCAACTTCTTGAACATTCTGCTTTGCTCTGGCGTCGCTTGGTTGAACAATATGTCCCGTTACCTGTTACGTTTACATTATAATTATTTCAATAGAATGAAAATCCTATCAACATAATTTAATTGTTTATTTTTATTGATTACTGTGCGTACTTTCATATTTCCATGAACGACAAGTGCTTCATCGGGTCTATCGGTATTAATACCGACTCGTCCTGCATGATAGACACTATCAGGAGCTGCTCCTCTTTGCCAGCCACCTTCGGCGCCAACGGCACTTCCTTCCGATTCAAATTGACCGGGATTGCTTGCCTGCACAAAAGCCTAGTAACTTTACAAATGGATCCTCTACCGGTAGTGTTCTATTAGTTGGAGTATTTTTCTAGTTTAGTAATAACCATAAATAAAACTGGTACAATTTATTATCAGAAAAAGATGTTTGCTTACCCTCACGATTATTCGTTCCGATGCGTGCGCAACCACTTGGTAACTGGCCTGATCTGCTGTGTGAGCATGTAATCCAACTACCAAGTGAAAATACCTTTGGTCTGGATTTGGTTTGCCTTTTTTTCGCATATTGTTGCTCGTCGTCTCACTAAAGTGAAGACGACCGACTGTCACCTTCGTGACACGTTCGCCGCCCAATTCGACCCTAAAACCAGCCCTATTTTAGCGTAACGGTGACACTGATTGAAACCGTAAGAAAAACAATAAAATTTTGCAACCGAAGGGCCTAAAAGTTGCTTCGAGATATCATGAAAATAAAAGTATCATGCAAAACAAATGCATTTTAAGTTCAGTATTAAAAGTCAAAAAGTTGTTCGAATGAATTCTCAGTAATAATACTGCATTGATATAAAATATATTAACCAACTGCCCACAGACACAGTTGAAGTTCATAATGATACTTACACCACAGGATGAAAAGGTTTTTTGCTCCTATCACTTTGACTCTGCTCAACTCTAATTGTCTGAGTTGGTGATTCAACTTTAACTCCATAAAAGTGAAGTTGAAAACTACTGATCTTCTTCAGACCTTCACCCGTCCTAACGAATACGGCTTCACCCTGTAGTTGTGCATGGCAAGTAATCTGAAAAGCACGTTAAGAACTTTCGTAACAAAGTATCTACAATTATAACACTATTTAATTAATTCCGCTTCTTACCTGGAAATGATTCTTCTTTTGACAAACAAATGCATCGTCCGAGTTACTAAAATTGAATCCTTTATCTGCATCGACCCTATAATGGGGTACAGGCAATTCCTTGAGATTATGATCGCAAAGTGCATGCCAGGACGTTTGCTGAAACGGATGGAACCGTATGCACTGATAACTTGCGTCTATGTATGCACTGTCACCCGCAACTTCATCGCCATCCAGCACAGCACTGCTGCTACTGCAGCTATGCTCAACAGTTCCTAATTCAGGTTCCTTAAAATAAAAAAGCTAATCAGTCCGATTTCCCACATTGGAGAAACAAATGGTCAGGTGGAATATTATTTCTTCTACAAATATATTTACTTGTTTAACGTGGATAAGACCATCTTGACTAAGTTTTCTCTTTTTAGGTGCAGACTGAAGTGACGAATACAGAGTAGTTATTCCACCAGGACTATGTTCGTGTGGTAGAGGAACAAGAGAAGTCCCTAATTGTTGTTGGGTTGGCAAGGTAGGTGTGCCTGGCGTTAAAAGTGGCGTTAATACAGGATGCGTTAACAAAAGAGGATCAGCAGCAGGAGCCAATGCTCTTGGTGATGGCGGTAACGGACCCGGAGCATAGCTGGTTGTATTTCCTTGGTGATGCAAGAGTATCTCTTGTAAAGCTGCTTTTTGATCTGCACAATTCGAGTATTAAGTAATCTCCGATCCAACAAACTTACTGACTTATAAAATACATTGTCAAGATTCAACTGAACTCACGTGGTGAATGTACATGTTGAGATTCATGATGTCCAGGTGGTGAGTAGGGAGGCTCGCTACCGCTGTCCGGCGGACTTTCTGGTAGAGCATGTCTGTGGGAATCAATATATTTTCATTAATAACTCTCCTTCGGTTGAAAGAATGTTATAATAAAGTTTATTCATTAAACACAATTCAGTTGATTTAAAAATAATACAGTTAGTTCGATCTTGTCAATGTATAAACGTGATATCATATAATGGAATCTGTATTGATCATTGCAATTCGCGCAACTGATCATAAAGGATCTTTCACATTTACACATAACAGTAGGGAACGTCATAAAATTAATCCAATAATCTTCATACATTTATGTATCATCAGAATGGAGAATGACTGAAATATTTCTACACACACGGTTTCAGATAAATGAAGGTAAAATAACAATTTCTTCTACAGAGAATAAATCAGCCAATGATTAAAAACATTGATTGAAATAAATAGCACAATTGTTCAAGATTCTATTCTTAACATCAAAAACATGGGTAATTAAGTCTTTCAAAAAATTCAAAGAATCCTAAACCTACCAAAATCTTTTCCACCGCTTGCTCACAAAGTGCTAAAATTTCTATCAATAGTTTTCTACGTTTCTTGCCAAACACTGTCTCGTCTTATTTCTTACCATTCCAATTACCAGAGCATACCGTTACACGTGTTTACTTTGCATTTAAATAACCATACAGCGCAGACACTGTGAACTTCTCTGAACTTACGGAAGAACGTATGTTTGTGGATCTTTGTATGTATTTGCAGAAGGTACAGTGGTAGTAGCAGAAGCGCACGTGGCAGAAACTGGATGATTTTGAGTGATCGGTGATGGCAACCTGGGAGGTGGTTGTTGACTCGCCGTCGCCTCCACTCTGCCTCCTTGATTTGTCGCAGCACCGCCTTCATTGTGGGCTAGTGTATCCGCAAAATACCTAGAAAAAAAAAAATCAACAATTACGTCACACTGACAGACCAATGCTAAACATCATGTCAATATTAAAAAGCACATCGGCTGATTCCACTAGGCAGATGCGTATATACCTTCTTCGACATCTCAAGAATCTTATGTTTTATTTATAAAAAAAATTTCATGCAACATAATAAAATATTTCCTAACATAATAAGATTTCCTAAAAACGCCTGGTATAACCTTTGACTTATATTCATGAAAAATTTCAGTACGAGAGGCATCCCTGTGAATCGTATAAGCAGAACCAGAGTGAGATTCTCGTAATAATAAACTTTAGAGGAATCTTTGTGTTCGAAAGAAAAACTGCAGCCATGGGCATGCAATAAAGTCCGTACATGCAACAGGCACGCAGGGTTTACAAAACATAGATACGCTATCGCGCGTTCGCCATTGCACACCGTCCAATAATGACATTATGGGCGTCATGCTTCTCGCTTTTCCACCGGAGAAAAAGATTCGTGCATGCACGAGTCATTTCTTCCTGTAAAACGGGAGTCAAAAGCAGAACGTCTCTTTCGTTGACGGATAGAAAGTGACAATGGTATCTCCTCTCTCTGCGAGAGACAGTCGAGTGAGACTGAAGAATTTCCAAATTCTCCACTATATTTTTTCCTAATGAAATTCGAAGGAAATCCCTCCCAATGAAAGCCTAAGGCTCTTCGTATCTTTTCCTTGCATAGGACAGTGTACACGAACCTTTAAGTGCAGAATATGCAACCAATTACCGGGTTTAATCCAGCCAACAGTGATTCCATCAATTCCATCCAGGCTGTAGTGTCATTATATCATTACACCTCTGTGGTCACTGCTATAATTCTGTCTCTGTCGCTGAATATAGCACTGCAATTCAACACTGTGTTGCACTGGATCTAACCCAATCACACCACCCAGACCGTACGACCTATTTGAATGTATCCTACTTCTCTATGTTTCAATAAAATTATCTTGTTCCTTTAATTTCATAATAAATTAAATATGCACTTGGTGCGTTTAATTATTTTTTGAAAATTTTTTTGAAAAATTTTTTGAAAATTCCTTCGGCTTGTCTTTGAATTACAGATTAGGTATACGACCCTCGTGCAGGAAATGCATGTCTGCTTAACGCAGCGGTAAGCGCATTGGCTGAATTTGTTAATTACCATAATTTCCCGGATAGAGACCCAGGGGGTGGTATAGGGAGGCTCGTGCCTTAAATATTTTATAGTCTAGAAACGTTGGCACCCATCGATTTTATTTTCCACTGTAAACCGCTCGATTAATCGTCAGGTGTCCTTTCAGGGGGAGCAGCGGTGCAATTAAGTGTATCGAGGAAGTAAAACGTTCGCACGAATTTTAGTTGCATAATGCAATCGCGTGCATTCGATTGATCTCTGAAGGATAAAACAAAATTACTACGATTTACCTTATCTTTCCAACTGTGTATTAATCATTGCTTGATAATCGTGGAGAATATAATTACACGTTAGTGCCACTAGGAATTATACGAGTATACGTACGATGGTATCTTTCGAGACAAGAAAATTCAAAGGAAGCACGACCAGGTTATTCACAAATAGTCAATTAATCACTCAAGCTCGGGATCAATTGTTGTTCCAATTTATAAAGTCGTATGTCAAAATTAATCAGAGAGGACGTTATGTGATGATAATTCATTTAATGGGTCATGCACCTCTCATACGTTATCATACGTCAGTTCAATTCATGCGTTTATCATTAACCCGTCAGCAATCACTCTACGAGACTTTCTCTCGTACTTTTTTTTTTTCAAATCAATGTTTCGTTCAAATTTCAAATGACCTAAATACTTCAAACTCTATCTTCATATAATATGTTCCTTGATCGAATCTTAATTTTTTTATCTTTCTGAAACCTTTTCATCTGTCAAAAAAATTTTAGTGATCCGTCGGCAGACTGCGAGACTCTCCCGTCAGGCGTATATAGTAAATTGCGAATAGAGGCTATTCGATAAAAGCCAGAAACTTCGAAAACGCTCGTACAACTTCTTCGATCGGCTGTAAATCTGATCTGTTGTCATTTAAATAAATTATTTGTATAACATTTAAATGCATTTTCATTAGAAATTTATCAATTCCTTTTTTTGTCTATTCAAGTCCATTTGTCAGTAAGTGCGCGGAAGTGGATCGCGCGACCATTGAGTACTGTCAAGATAGCGCGACCGTCCGAGGGCTTTTAGATTGGCAATGAAGTTGCAGCAACGCATCGAAGGAGACGTGAGACAATTACCTGAGAGTTATTATTTTCTGCCCGTAGACTATTCTGCTCTAGATTCATAATTATTCTGTCCACCAAGCTAAACGTCAGTCATTCTCTCTGGCGGCGAAGGTTTTGTATTGGCGCTTTTATAGGAATCTTTATACATAGAATTTTCTACGCTTCGCATGTTTCTTGGTACATTACTATTGACTTTGAGAACGCGAGCATTCCTACTACAGAGAAGCACATTAAAATAATCTAACGAGAACACTCCTGAATGTTCGTCTCGAACAATTGCTTTGGTAGTCGACACGGACCGTGTCGACTATGATTGAATGAATGAAGGAGAAGGGTGCTGACTGTATGTAACTTGACAGAATAGAACATTCTATTAATATATTCTTCTTTATGATTAAGCACGTACATAAATCTCAGATTGTACGTGCAACGATCTGTCACTCTGTCACTACGATTCTGTTAAGTAAAACTACGATTACGAAACTTGTGGACCCCCAGAGATTGTTAAGTGTCACCATTTATTGATAATATTTAAAATATTATTTTTTCCAGAACCGGAGACACTCACGTGGCGGGTTGTTCACTGTCACTGTTGATAAAGTCCTCCAGCTGTGAAAAATCCAGCGCCTCGTTATCTATCCCTCCGACGAAATCGCCCCGTCCTGGAACAAAAAAGGACATGCACAAAGATTAGGTATGCATTAATAAAAAAAAAAAGGAAGAAATATGTACGACAGTGAATCACATTACTTTCCATGAACTACGATAAAATAATTGACCTTAAGAATGTTCGTATGTCAAAATTAAAATTAGTTTCTCTCTCACTATTCCTTCAAGCAGTGTTTACGTTGCGCAACTTGAAGAGCGCACTGAGAAATATTTGTGAATCTTTGGGAAAATCCCAATCCACTCACGTGCTTACACATACATTCACATAAATTGATATGATATTACTTAACGTCGGTAAGATTTCAAAAGCCGTTTAACACCTATCGTGTCATAAGAAAAGCAATGGTATCTCTGAAAGTTGCTATTTGCCTTACTTTTAGCGAAGTGACGAAAGCAAAGGTAAAATTTGAATGGCCAATCTGATGATCTGTAACTATAATTATAACAGTGGGATTTAGATTTTTTTCAATGCCTCGAACACATGAACTTAGTCATATCGATATATTCTACATGGCTTGGTAGCCGATATACGAATTCGATAGGAGACATCTATTGGCTCAAGAGTGAAGTTATCGCAGGAATGAGGATGCAATGTAAGAGGTACATACGAGTGTTGCTATGGGAGATTGCGTGGGAGCGATAAACCGTATCTGCAAGAAACTAACGCAAAGTGTGAATGCCAGCCTGGAGGCCTCCATAAAGGTCTGGCGAGCGTTCACAATGGAACAGTGAAAGAATCCTTGCGACTTAGCCTCTCCCGTGACACGCTACTAAATAGATATGGCACAAAGTGAACGATAAAAGGACATGTCTAAAAAGGTATTTAGGAAGGAGATATTATATACGAAGAATATACTTCCAAAAACAATGTGGAAATTATTTCTGGATTCACGCGAAAGATCCTCCTGCCATAGTTACCACGGGAATGGCAAACGTTTGCTATTACCGTATTAAGACGATGAACTCTTGCCCCCATTGTAGTACGATTCGCCATAAAAATCTTAAACACGGTATACTGTGTATCTCAGTGGATGAATGTGTACTTGCCGGCGACCTTTGACCCTCTTAAACGTTTAGGCAAACGACTCAAGTGTCATAAATTCGTCGTTTCCGGTCATTTCATGACTATTTTAACCAAGTGTAAGGACGATTTTGGCACTTTTGGTTGGCTGCGCAAACACGCTGACACAATTATTTCACGGACTGGATGGTCAAGGTTATGCGAATTGACGTAGGCGTTAAATTATGAAAAGTCGCGAGAGTCGAAAGGGAACGCTGTATTTCAATTTGTTAAGAAACGTGAGAAAAATTATTCACGGTGTAAAAAGACAATGTCAACGTAGATTTAAAAAAGCGAAGAGCTTTAAACTTTCATATTAATCAAATTTGATTCTGCTCCATTATAAGTATGAACTTTACTCACGTCTCGCGAAGGTATAATGCCTGAAGGAACGGAGTTTCATTTTGAAAATGGTATAGAGATTCGGAGCTACTACGTGGTTCAAGACGAGTACGTTAGAATGTCATTAAGCCACATTTCCAAGAGGATTGCGAAATTTCTCGGCACGCGATGAGAATCTATAAACAGTCTCATCTCTTTTAAAACATCTTAAGCGAAAACGAACGGGAATCAGACTGAAACGAGAAAAAAGCTAATGATCTTTTCCATGACTTTGCCAAATAATTGTGCTCTCCATGTCAAATTCAGGAACAGGATGTATTATAATAGGCATTCAAATTGAGTTTAAGCTACTTGAAAAATGCATTTTTTAGGAATTTTATGCTTTGTGAGAAAACCCAGATAATTATTTATCTTTAATAACAGAGAACATGTGCAAGCCAAAGAGACACATGCAAGAATACCCGAGCGATTACGTTTTTCCTAATAGTTTTTTTCTTTGTCCTTTAATGACACGCCTAGAGCCTTGATCGACTCTGCGATCATGGAACGAATTTCAGGACCGTTCGTTTCTTAAAAACGTAAATGTCTATTTAAAATGATTATACCGTTGTCCGATGGATTCGGATTAAATAATTGATATCTGAATCTAAAAGAGTCATAAAGAATCGGTCGACCTCTGACCTCTCTCGTGATTACCGGTACTTACTGCATAACTCAAGGATGAGGTTAGCGCATCAAAAGTCATACGATAACAAATTGCCCGCATCGATGCATAACACAAAAAGATATACGCTTTCATGAACTACCGTAGATCGAATCGCCTCGAGATCTACGAAAGTCCCAATTCTGTAGTAACAAAAAAAATATATACTTTTACTCCCAGTTATCTCTTATGCAAATATAGATTCACCCACGTACCAGGATTCGTGCTGAAAAGAAATTCAGCTCTATGGAAAAATACTATCGACTTTCCTTCAACCCCGTCGATACTACAAAAGTCATCCGCCATTTGTATATCCAAATGACAAAGTATCCGCGACTATCACATTTTTCCCTTCCACGTCTCCAACGTCGAAGACAACCTTCATCTTGAAACGGTCACCCGCCACGATATATTACCCTGACAAATCCGAGGGGATGGTTTTGCCGAGGTTGGGGCGTTGCCAACCTACGAGGGCGTATCGACCAAACAGCCCCTGCTGCTTCTCAGTACTACCTATAATATAAATGATAATACGGATATATTTCTCAGATTGCAATGCGCTCCTGGAATATGTAACCGTTCACTGTGCTATACATATATATAATCCCCCCCCCCCTTTAAAATATATTTAATATCATTTCAGTTTTCATTATGGTACTTATGTACTACTGTGTCAGTAGTATCTGTAGGCCTGATACGTTTTCCCGTAGAGTAAACCAGTAATCGGTTGTGCGCATGCGCATTAACAACTTCCTTACACAGGAAGCCCAAAGTCACGACCCTGGTTCTGTACACGATGGGCTTTCTCAGCGAGGCAATAAACTTTATGCTACTATGGCGTGTCTTGCGTCGTGAGCCGTCCCTTTTTTTCCGGGGCGTTCCTACGTCGCAATTCGGGACAAACACGGCACGAGGAGTTCGTAACCCAGAAAATGAATGGACAGAAAGTATAACGGTTCTACGTGAACTTTATCAGCAAATAAACGTAGACGAAGAATCCAATATACGCATTACAATTGAAAGAACATCTGTCAAAATAATTCTTTTATATTACGTTCAATATTGTACCAGTAGTATTGGATTTGTTTCGTCGTACTTGTATCTATATCTCTGGTGCATCGATGCTTTTAGAATCGATAAGATATACTTGATGCCAGGTAACTCACGTAGTCATATCCGCGATGAGTAAATGTCTGCAAATGTTAAATTTGTTATTAACTTTAGTCGTCTGCATATAGTGAGATCATTGAATAGATGACAGTGTGAGAGAAGATGCACAGGACACAAGAGAATTTATTAAAGAAATAGACATAGAGATGCAGCAGGAATGACACTGTCAGCTTTCACTCTCCTTCTACATGAACTGTTGTAGTTTTAACTGTAGCTTGAAGATATCAAATATATATATATCAGTCCTTCGAGTCGCGAACAAAATAAGATTCTTAAGGTACGACCATAACAGCCGCTTCAGCTGACTGAAGATCGAACTCTGGAGATACCGGCTCTTGCAAAAAGGCTAGTAGCGTCTCTCGTCGACTTTCTCTACAACGCAAATAGAATACCCCCTCGGCGATAACTGCGCAACAGGACACTACGAAAATTGGATTTACTTTCGTTGATTTCGTGGAATCGCAAACGCACGGATCAACGGATCTGCGTAGTAGTTTTCCTTTTACCACTTGCGAATTCGAAAGAGCATATATTTGTGGGTGGGACATTGGAAAAAGAAGGGAAAAAACAGCGCGCGGGCCGCCATCTGGTGCCACGAAATCGCACTGTTTATTGCAACGAGTTTCTTGGGCTTGTAAAAAGAAATGTAAGATCATCGCGATACCGAACGACTCTTTTTGTCCTGGATACCGGAAAAAGTCCTTGGCCGGTAATAAACAGATATACTATATCTAATCCTTTGCTACCTATGTAAATGCCATTCGGTTACGAGACGTTCGTTTTTACGCTACAATATGTCGAACTTTCGGTCAGTCTTCCGCATACTCGCCAAGCATAAAGCATTCTCGGCTAACGTGACGTAGGAAGGTTTGCCAACGTAGCGATAGTATAGTAGCGTTGCCACCGCAGAAAAAGAAACGATTGAAAGAATATGTTCTCGTGAAAACCACAAAATGTAAAACAGTCCCTCCAGTTACCGTTGGGATGTCAATATGACAACTGCGCACGGACCGTGAAAGCTAAGAAAAATAAAGCACTGAAAATATGAACTACAGTGAGTTAATTTGAAAAAATAAACAGAATAACAGCACTTCCTCCCTTGACGATGCGTGTCGGCACAAGAGACATAAATTCTCCCTAAGTCACGTAGACGCAGTTCCTATTTCTTTTTTCTTTATTTCCCCCCCCCCCCAACCCCT